TCTCTCTTTGCATTTTTTTTCTGAGATTCCATGATATCCATAGGGGATAATGGACACAATACAATAGACAAACCCTTACGCACAAGTGAATACTGATTTGTCTTTCCATCTTTGTTAGCACTTCGATCAAACTCCCATGGACGTCCCAACAATATATGACATGCTTGCATTGGAACAACATCACAGAGAACTTCATCCTGGAACGTTTTAAAACATAAGAGTAAGCGAGCTTGCGACCGTACCTTAATTTCTCCACGATCATCTAACCATTGCAACTTGTAAGGCTGAGGATGCTTAAACGTAGGAAGGTTCAATTTCTTGACAAGTTCCATGCTCACACAGTTTGTGCAACTTCCTCCATCCACAATCACAAGACATGTCTTATTATTCACCTTACACCTTGTATGGAAAATATTAGTGCGTTGCTTGAGATTCTTGTCTTGAGTTGGCTGGATACTAAAAGCATGAGCTAGTACCATAGCTCGAGATACGTCTTTCCCATAGACAACCTCATGTTCACTCTCAGAAGCTCCCTTATCATACATTTTACTAGTTGTAGCGGTTGTTGCTAAAACTATATTAGATTGATCGTGCACATCTTCTTCTTCACTTTCATAGTACCAATCATCTCGAAGGACCATTACCTTCTTATTGGGACAATCAGATGCATAATGTCCTCTTCCTTTACACTTGAAGCATTGAACATTGGCAGATGAACCCGGTATAACACTAGGTGTCTTCTCCAATGGCTTGGTAACCTCGACCGGTTTAAGCAACTGTTTAGGTTGACTAGAATTTGGAGCAGTCTGCTTCTTAGGAGTACTCCCCCACCGATTTGATCCAAAGGATGATGTACTAGTGGAAGATGTCCTTGCTCTACTTGCGGCCGCAGATTCCTTCATTTGCCTCTCAATAGTGTCGGCCTTATCCACCAAATCATCTAGATCATGATAAGATTGTAACTCCACTCTATGTCGAATGGGAAGGTCCAAGCCATGTAAAAACCTTGTTATACTTTATTCCTCATCTTCTTCCAATTGACATTTAAGCTTCAACGTATTCATGTCTTGGTAGTATTCCATGACCGAACTACTTCCTTGCTTAAGATCTTGCAACTCACCTTGAAGCTTCCTTTGAAAGGATGCTAGGACAAAAGACTTTCGCATTACACGTGAAAGCTCTCCCCAAGTGGTGATTGCGGGATCATCGTCTCTTTTTCTCCGACGTTGTACCTCATTCCACCATGTAGAAGCATATCCATGAAATTCTGACACAGCTAAATTCAGCTTCTTTCCCTCAGAATAATTGTTGAGATTAAAGATCCGGTTGATATGATCTCTCCAATCAATATACGCATCAGGATCTGGCTTGCCACGAAATTGTGGAATCTTCTGCTTGATAGTGTTCATGTTATCATCAAATCTAGGCTGCCTTTGTCGATCATGCCTAAATTCTTCTTCATGCTCAACACCATCATCATCATTTTGTTCTCTTGGAATTTCTTCTCGCTCTCCTTGACCATTTTCTTCTCGGTCACCATCTTGTCCTTCATTACCACATCCACCACCTTGACCACGCCCGGTATTTCCACGTCCGCCATAGATGTTCCTACGTGCAACAAGGTTAGGTCCAGGATTCACCAATGGATCCCTAACTTGGGCAAGTTGGTTTATTTGACGAGCAGTTTCTTCTTGTTGGCGAGTGGTCTCTTCTTGTCGTCGTTGTTGTTGTGCCATTGCCATCATCATAAGTTGCAATTGATGGGTTAATGCCGCAATCTTATCTTTAAAATCTTGCACAGTATCATTCAGCATTCCATGTTGAGGAGGAGGTAGAGCTTTATCTCCCATGTTTCCTGAAACACAACTCAACACACACAAGAAAAAGAATATTGAAGAACTCACTTCCTGGTTACCCCTCCCAACTATTCTATTCACTCCCCAAGATCTCTCAAGAAGGTTTAGAATTTAGTAAGGGATGGATTCACTCTATTCTTACCACTGTATTTGTCTTTTAATCCTTTGTGCAATGAAGACTAGTGCTACAAGAAGTACTTTATTGAAGCAATTAAAGAGGATCAAAAAGTAAGGTTCTGAAAATAATTGTAACAAGATCTAAGGAAGAACACGAATATAGATTGAGTAGTTACAATTATGAAAACTTAGATCTCACAAAAGGCTAATAGAACTTGGAGCAAATTCTGAAAAATAAAAGCTTCGACTTAGGGTTATGGATAAAACCCTAGTTTCGGCCAATACATCAATAAAGGGGTTATATTTGCGAAACCCTAGCCACCAAAGATCCAAGTATTTCGAAAAAGATATGTGCAAATAATAGTAATTGCACTTCAAATCAAACTCAAATACCAATATCCTTCTATGTCGTCTTTCTTTTTATTTTTACTTTTTTTTTCACGACTATATATATATATATATTTTTTTTTTTTTGACTAAAAAAAAAAGTGGATTAGGGATTAAGATACCCTAGATCCGATAATTTAGGAGAAAAACGTTTTTTTTAACTAATAATAATGGATCTAACTATAACAACTTCAATCAAATCAAACAAGAATTCAATCGAAGTAAAATAGTGAGATCTATAATAAAAGACTCAAAAATTCAAAAGAACAATTAGAGATCTAACCAAAGATGAGCTTTAGTAGATCAAAAAAAAAAAAAAAAAGAAAAGTCTTCAAGAACCTAAGCTCTGAGGCCAATTGATACGAATCTTGAGGCAAAGGTGGCAGATTTACCTCGACGCGGAAGCTATGAATTTACCAGGACTTGAAAACTTGCAAATCCATCATTATGGACTCCAAACTCACAAAAAATAAAAGGAAAGAAGAGATGCAAACCACAAAAATTTGCACCAAAAAGGGATGGAAAGGTTTAGAAGATGTAGAAAATGTTTAAGGTTAGCAACCCAATCGGTCATCTCTCTAATAACCCTATCCCTTCGATTTATGGATAGAACGGCTAGCGAAAAGGCTCCAATGAACAACTAACAAAGCTCCACAAGTAGCAACTAACAAAGCTCCATAAGTAGAAAAACACCTACTCTACTCGCATGCATCAACAAAGCACAAGCTTGTATGCAATGCACTAATCTTCGAAAAGAGCAGAAAAAGAACAAAGAGTTTCCTCTCATCTCATATTAAAATAATTCATCAAAGTTATAAATAAAAGGCTGGCCAAGCACCCATATTTATAGTAGAGGGGACCAAAATTCTCCTATGAAGTAGGAGAAGAGTTTGATCTCTAACTTTATTCCTACTTTAAAGAACTAGAATTCAACTTAACCTCTAATTGACAACTTATGTCTTATCTATTAAGGCAATGTATCTAGACACCTTTATAAACTTAAGACACACTAGTCTATTGAAAATAAAACTCCAAATACAAAGAGATATTCTCTCAAAATAATCTTATCCTTATCTTGAAAAGAATCTTCCTGAGTTGCTAACTCTATCAATATCTTCTTTGTAAAGTAATCGTAGCTATCCAATCTTGATCTAATCTTCATCCAACGGTTGAGAGTAGACACCAAGGAATAGCCTTCTATTTTGAATAAACTCTAAATTAGATAAAAGAGAATCATAACAAATCTTATCCTTCTATGTGATAAGATTTAAATGATCTTATCTCTAAAATATAGGGAATCTTTCAAATCTTATCCTTCCACAAGTGTGATAAGATTTAAATGATTTTATCCCTAAAAGATATAAATTCCAACTCCTAAAAATTAGGAGATAGGGCCAGCCTCCCTTGCTTGGTTTGTGGGCCGAAATTTCCTTCCTCAAGTGGGCCTTGTAACATATTAATAATCTTGGACTTGTAACTTCCAGACTTGACATTCTCTTGGGCTAAACCATTTAATATAAGATTATTAAGTGCACTCCTCATCCTTTTACTTCTAACTTGAGTCATTGGGCTTCCAATGTTGGATAATGGATCTTGAGCCACTCCTTGAGCTTGGAAAGTACTTAAAATCCGAACACCTTGATCATTTTGGACTTGATTACCATGAATGTTCACATCATTTTATATCATTGTTCGTAACTATAATGGTGGAATTAAGACTTAAGGTCTGAAGGGGCTCAACAATTTGAAAAATAAATAAATAAATAAATAAATCTTCACAATAGACGGAAACCTCTTATATTTTCTGATGATGACCGGAGGATCGACGGACCCTCTAGGTGCCTATTGTAAGTTACAAACAAGGAAAAAAAACAATTGCACCATTTTGTTGTTCATGTTTGCACTAATTAATTCTATACTCTCTTTGACCTTAAAAGAAAAAAAAAAGAAAAGAAATAGTCCTCATAAAATAGTAAAAGTTTTAAAATTCAACATGAGTTATTATCTTAATTTTGGAGAGGTACGCAGTATGGAGATGCCGGGAGGGGGTTGGCAACTTCATTTTCGATCGGGTTGTCATCTGGATTTCCGTTGATCTGAACCTCAATATTATTAATTTGACGGCAAGTAAAAGATCTTCTGTGGACGTTATAAAATCGTATAGTCTACAAATAACCACGTTGATTTGCTTGAAACAAACGCATTTTTATATCTACATTATATGTCGAATGTAGAGCATGGAATAACTAGTATATATGTAGTTTCGTGGAATAATTTTGGATTTCTTTATATGGAAGAAGAAAATATTGAGTTGGAATAAATAATTAGGCTGCAGGATGTGTCCTTGAAAGGTCCACGTTAGGGTTTGTTATATCGTACGTAAAAAATATTAGATTCCTTCCGAATGAAGAAACCACGAAATGTAGTAAACTTTTATGACGGGGATATATTGTTGGAATTTGGGCATCCCCCAATCATGAGGTAACCTTGATTTTTCAACAATTATTACGTGTCAATGTGCAAAACGTAAAAAAATGAAAGTATACTATTTCGAGAAAGAAAATTACTACAACTTTGAATTCCTAAAACAATCGATATTGAATAATAATTGACGGGTTTTTTTTTTTATTTTTTTTTATATCAAATTGATATACTGTTGGGAATTCCTTTCCCAGTTATTCCAACTTCACTTGAAGGGAACAACAATGTGTATGGAACCTTAACTGGTCCAACTCTGTTTCTCCATTTCTCATCCGCATTCATCTCCACAATTTCTTCCTCAATTCCAGCCAGTGTTTCTCCAAACCTCTTAAAAGCTTCAAGTGGTTGTGAATCCTTTGTCCATTCTGGGTTTTCTCGTTGTCCCAAATACACTTCATCAGAAGTATGAGTCGACAAAACCTCAATAATGGAAAGACCTAACAGAGTCTGGAGTTGGGCTGTGACAGTTTTCAGGAAAACCTTATCAGGGTTGGTTTTCAGTTCTTCATACTCAGGGCTTCCGGGCTCAGGCATGAATCTCCGGCTTGTTGTAGGGCGATTCGGCTGGTAACCCGCGTAAGGCCATTGCCCAAAATTGGTTGCTGCATGAAGAGCTGAAGACAGCCAGATTATGATGCTGCATGAGTCTATCAACTCTGTAATTGTCTGCATTTTAGGCCACCAGGGTTCATCTTTCTTGTCAGCATGTCCTTTTTCTCTGACTTCCGTCCACCAGGATTGGAGTTCAGTGTCTTCCTGAATCATTTCATCAGTTTTGTAGTAAAAGCTACAGTAATCTGTCACCCAAGTTTTAATTGCTGTCCAGATCTTTAGGCCGTCCACGGCGAATGGATAGTCTTGGATCAATAAGCGAATGCCATAAGGCGAATTTGAATCCTCAACCGCAACTTTTCTGGTAGAAGAACAGAATGTATATTATGTCATTCATTGTTAAAACACAGTCATAAATAAAGTTTCTTACAGGTTAATTATGGTACGAAATCTTGCCTTTTGATGAGATCAGCAGGAAGTGCTTGATCAGGGAAAACCCAATCCCTGTAAAGAAAGGATGACATTTCCATTGCGTACTTGGAAGGAAACAATGTAGCCTCAATAACTCCTTTTGCATTAGTAAGGACCTGGCGGCCGATAGCGTTTATGTCCATCGTGTCGCGAAAATGAGGATGGAGAAGCTTATAAATGGGGTGAAGGACACTTAGTTGTCTATTTGTCGCTATGATTATTGGCTCAATTACCGCATGCGTCCTCAACCTGTTAAGAGAATAAGAAGATCAAAAGGAGGCACTGTAAAGATTGAGGAAAAAAGAAATCAGCTTTTTAATAGTGGAATACCAATGTGTTATAAGCTGATGGATGCCTGAGTCATTTACAGCAACATAAGCTTTAGCCAGTTGCCAAATCGAGCTTTCAACTCCATGTTCAGAAGGTGTGTATACTTTGCTAATGGGACCAAATTGATCGCCATGAGGATGTGGTAGGCTTAGTTCAATGGCTAATGGCATCAATGTTCCATCATTTTGGAGAAAGAGCAGTGTCCTGGAGGCATACGTCTTTGTTGTTCTAGCGTTTATTCGCCTTAGATAAGGCATAATTGTATCATGGTGATTCAATATGAATAGACGATTCGATTTGATTGCCTGCAAACAGAATGATAATCATAAGCCATTCTGATCATAGTATAGAATCTTGTCTTGTGCAAATACTAAGACTTCAACTGAAACAATGTCTTTACCTCTTCCACTGTCAATCCATCCAAGTTGCCCTCTATGTGAACTCTGGAAATAGTGCTAGTTTGATTTCCATAGACTTTAGGATCTAGCTTGCTTGTTGGAGGAAACTCCTGAAGAAAGAAAAAGAAAAGAACTCGATATCAATATACATATAAACAATAAAACTCACTAGTCCTTTATGTTCATCTGCTGCGAAATTTACGCAAAGGCGCTGGAGGACTTAAAACTGAGATTGCAGTTAAATTTCTTATGGCAGAAAAATGAAGACAATGGTTTATGAATTTACTTGGAGTCCACTTATTATGACAGGGTTTACTCCAGCCAGCATTTCTCTAGCAAATTCTTCATCAGTCCTCCATGCTGATCTATCCTCTGTTCCAAACACATGCAAAAATTCTCATGATTATTTTCACTTCTAATTTTGACTAATACAAACGGTAAGAAAAATGTGAAAAATAAACTTCAAGGAAGTAGAAGTATTGGATTACCTTTGATAACCATTGGCTTTGGGTATTTAAATAGTCTTTCGCCATCCGTTGGCAGGAGGGCTTTGAGAAAATCAGAAGAGATATTGTCAGTGATCTGTTGAGGTAGCTTGATCCCTCCTTCATAGATCTTCATCATATCTTCAAAACTGTCAAATTCATTTGGTGTGCTGTCAAATTGAGCCTGAATCTCAGGCAGAATGAGCTGAGAAATCGATTTCAATCCATAAGCGAGAAAATCCGACATCTTCAAGTGTCCGAATCTCTCATCCCTCGGAACATAAATGTTTAAACTCAAGAGCAGTGGCAACCTACTCTCAGTTTTAGGATCTGCAAAAATGTAATGACCATTTTAGAATCAGCTACCTAATATGTCTCAAAATATACCATTGAGATAACTGTCTGCAGATAAAATAGTCCATGTTGTAGAATTAAACAGTTGAACAAAGTAGACTATTTTTCCGAGACAAAAGGAGTATTATATATGACTTACCTGTCTTGGTAGGTGGTCTTCCAGTTCTTCCTCGACGCGGATAAGGATACTCAACAGATCCTCCAAGGACTGGACGAGCATAATCTGAACCTTTCTCCGGGTCTCCTAAATCATTGTAATAATCATAATCATAAATCCTGTCCCATTCCTTTCTTTCTCCACTTCCATTTCCTCTCAAACTTGCCAATTCCTGTTCTCTGTACCATTGCAATGCAGCTGGTGTCTCCTTTGGAAGATATGCCTGCAGAGAATATTCCACACACAATTGGCCTATTATATTAGAGATTTGGTAAAGGTTCGCCTACTCCTTTTTTGATAAATTCGGAATCAGAAGTTTTTAGTATGAAATATTTATGTAATCACTGTTCAGGAAAGATTAAATAAAGAGTTTTGTCCAATGACTTGAAATGGCTTAATTATCCATACCTGATTTGAGAAGAATATCCGATCTGTTTCATATTTTTCAGCTGGATAAACCCAAGAGTTGCAAACAAAATGAATGTGATCATGGCCTCCAGGAACACCTTCAAGAGTCAGTGTCTTGAGGTAAAACTCATTTTGGTGAAGATTCTTCACAATGATAGCTCCTGGAATTCCAATTTCTTCATCCCAATCAAATGTCACATCGAAAGCCGATTCGCCGGCTTTTAAGTTGTCAATGCCCTTAGAAATCCAGTTTTCTAAGAATGCAGGATTCCCCATTCTCCCCGTCAACACTTTTCCTGTGAAACAATCATGGAAATAAAAAAGATTCACTCATCCAAAAAAGATAAAACGATCATTTTGGGAAGGAAGGAAGTAAAAGAAAAAACTACAGATATTGAGTGCATGCATACATATACGTACCTGAGGAACGATGGGATGATGAACTGATGAGCTGAATAGATACTTTTTTACCAAGAAACTCATCAATCCCATCAACAACAGCAGCAGTGAAGTCATTCAATTCCAACACATTTTTCTTCATCAAAACCACTCTCCCTTTCATCTTCTTACCATTTTCTGTACTGCTTTTGTGACCATTATTCTTGATGCCCTCCACTAAACTCTTCAACATGTTCTCCATTAATGTATCTTGTCACTTTTAAATTCCCACAATTAATTTTGTTGAATATATTGCATGGTGTCAGAAGTGATCTGTTTATATAGAGTGAAGCAAGTTGTTCTTCCAATTAGGCTGGGGGAATGGAAAAGTATATATGAACACAATTAAGAATGTCTTTCTTAGAAGCGTGTTGAAATACTTTGGAGAGTGCATGACCACACCCTTGTTGCTCTTGTTGCTTTTGGGTAGTTGAAACTTGAAAGTGGTAGTGGTCCAATATTCAATTATGTATGTGACCAAAAAATAATAATAATAATTTCGATTAATTTATTGAAAAAATTTGACCAATGATTGGACAATAGAAAGATGTATAACTTCTCCGTTGGTCAGCTCAAGAATACTTCACTACAATCATCATCAGCTAGAAACCTAAATTTTAAATCAAACTTGTTGAATTTGTGATGACTGAATCTTATTTAACCAGAAATCGGAAATGAATAATTAAGGAGCAACGGAAAATAAAAATAAACCAACCAGGTTAATCGTTTACAATCTATCTAATCAAAGAAATAATACCCTCTTCCTAGACTGTGAAGTGTGAATCAAACTGTTTTCGGGGGATAGAACATGAATTGGTTGTGTATTTTTTTAGTAGTTTAATTTTGTTTTATTGAGAATTTTTTTTTTTTATGTTTTTTATTACATGTAGTCACAAAAATGACGGTCAATGTTGATTCTTCAACCTTGAATTAGGCGTGTTAAGTTGAAATTTTATAATTAAAATATCGAAACAGTTTATCATTATTATCTTATAAAAAAAATGGTTTACCAAACAACAATCACCACTTAATTAAATATGACATGCGAAAGTTGTTTAAATACGCAGGAACGCAGAATGTTGTTGTTGAATTGAATGGGTATTTTGCTAAAACCGGATTAATTAGTGGTACGTACTCGAGTGTTTTACAAAAAAGCTAGCTTTGGTGTTCCAAACTAAGGCCTTCTTTTTATAATAATTTGGTGTAAACGGTAAACCAAACGTGAAACATTTAAAATTTTTCTTTTTGTATCACTATATCAAGTTGCGTAAAATTAATCATCATATATATACTTCCTCCACGGATTCACAAATTTGTGACCAGTGATTTCTTTCCACTTTTTTTTTTTTTTATTATTATTATTTTTGGGTCCATAATCACATATATCCACCGTCCTCGTGGAGGAATATTACTGCATATGACTATTAATAATATCTTGATTACAGAAAATTCGTTCCATTTTCTTCAAAAGATAAAAAAATAAAAAATAAAAAACTCTTCATATAAGTACAGTAGTCAAATGTCAAAGAACTGAGCACGTAATTGGATTTGAAAACTTTACGTGATAGTTTTTTTTTTTTTTTAAAGTACCTGCTTTCATTAAAATGAAAGTCCTATGCTATTACACTGTATCTGATAATAGGCAATACTAGATGTTAGACCCGTGCGATGCACGGGGTTCATTTTTATCGCCAATAAATAATATTGGTAAAAAATATTAAAAATGTGGAGTACATGTAAATTTATAATTAAATATCTTTACATTACGTGTAATAAATTAAGCCCGTAATCATAAATATAAACCATTTCCTGTCACATGAAACGAAAGAATTTGATTTACCTTAGGGCAGTGAAGAAAAAAGGAAAAAGAAGCAATTTTAAGTAGTATATGAATGAAAGTAATTAAAAGTGCAAATGTAAATAAAATTAACTAAATCAAAGTTTTAAATTACAATGATAGTTTGTACAAACTTAATAATGTATATTGGGTTTTACTATTACTTTAGTCCAATAACTCAAAGTAAATTCATTTTTACTAATAAAGAAGTTTATAATTACAAATTCAAATAACCTACTATAAAATGAGATTGAGAAAAGATTTACTAATCAAATGGAATTATAGCTAATCATAATAACATCATATAACACATGGAAAACCTAATCATTGAAATGATAATTTTTGTTATAAATATGTTAAGAGGTCACCAACAAAATCACAAGTCCTCATAATTATTTATAGTATAGTATTTTATGATTTTGTTGAAATACAATTGTGTGTATTTGTTATTGGGCATACGTTATGTAATTAAGATATTTAATAATAATTCTATTTCGTTTTAAAAGGGTAGCATATCATTAATGAACTAATATGTAATGAAAATACATGTAATAACTTACTAAAAGTCTTAATAATAAAATATATTGTGCGGCTAAATTAAATATTGATTGTTGATTATTAAGCTTTGTGTTGTAGTTTTGGATAATATATGGAGTAGTTTGTGTGTCATCTCGTCTTCTGCATCCTTTTTGTCTTTTTCTTTCTTTTTTTTTATTAAAAGCCCCACGATTGGCATTATTCTGAATACTTTTTTTTTCTTTAAAACCACATAATTATGCCTCTTTAAAAAGTTCCTGAAGTTGCAAAATTCCTGAATCTTCGTAAATTGCTGTTGACTAAATCTATATTATTTTAAAATATGGAGTGGAACCTAAGTTTGAAATAGTAGTTGGATTTTTTTCTTTCGTGGATTTATGTCTACAAAATAAATAATATTATTCTCAAGCCTCATGTGAGGGACTTATAGTTAATTTCAGTGATTTTTTTTTAGGAGCTTTAGGGAAATGCCACATAAGATTTTTGCTGATGTGGCACCCTAAGAATCAATGTGAAATCCTCTCTCCGGTTTCTCTATTAGAATATAATATAGATTACGAACATCCGAAACTTCCGATCTGTAAACTTTAATCAGTTCGCGAAATTCGAATGAATCGATAAGAGTTATTAAGTTTGGTACTACAGTTTGTATCTCTAACAGGATTTGTTGATCCCTAAGATTTGCAGCCATTTTTGACTCGAGTAATCCCAAGAGCGGAAGCCTATTGCAATTCCACTCCATATTTTACCTTCTGTGTTTGTTCTAACGCTGAAGGCTCTATATTGATCTTCTCCCATGCTACTACATCATTTTTTGATAGGACTAGATTGACTATATAGTAGCGAATCTAGAATTACCATCTTCACCATGTCATCGGCACAAATCACAAAGCAGTCATGTATATAAACCATCTTTTACAGTTACCATACAAAAAAACTAAAGCCATCTTTCAGTCATGTATATCCATCATCTTCTTTTATCCATCATCTTTTTTTAGTCTACTACTCTCTTAGTAAAGAAAAAATGCAGTTCCAAAAATGCACCAAACACGCTCAAAAGGAAATCAAAGAAACACCGTATAAGCAAAACTCACAGTCGGAGATGAACAATTTCGGATCCTCCACAACAGCGAAGATGCTTCGAAAAGCCCTCCGCAACGAATCATGATTCAGTTGTTGACGCATCGTTGCCGGTCACAAAGAAAGCAATTAAAAAGGGGTTAGGGTTTTTTATGGAGGAATTAGACAGAAATCTGAAATAGAGAATTATGGGGGGAATATATCTACATACATATACATATATATATATATATATATATATATATCGAAGGGAATCCCCTTTTTGTTGCCCGGTTAAAGGGGGTTCCCAGTCAAAATCGCTGATGTGACAACTTTCTGTTCGACCTTTTCTTTTTTGTCCTTTTAGGCGGCCTTTGAACGAGTGACTTCTCCTCTCCGTTGCCCGGCTCTGTTTTTCTATTTCTTTTTCCTTTTTGACCCTTGCGTGAGCAACAAAGTTTGCACTTTGCGGGCATAATCATTTCACTCCAGCGATACCAAAATCTCACTTCTTTCTTCCTTGGATTATCGGCTTTTTTTTGGGATTAATCAGCACCTGTCTGGATCCAAAGGTTAGCGAGTTTTTGGTTTCTGAAATCATCGGATCTACTCTGTTTTGTATGTGTGTTTGTGAGTTTGTTTGGTTTCCATTCCGTCGACTGATACAACATTATTACAAAATTAGAGGCTGCGTTTATAGGGTCGGGACACTCGGTTCTGCAACCTCTCGCTGGGATTTTCTTCCATTCTAAGGCTATTGAATGTCAATAACTTGATGGACCAATTTAAGTGGATAAAAATTCATGATAGTTTCAAGTGGCAAATTATTGTCCTTTTGATTATGTGTGTGAATATCATTCGTGCTTTTGTCAATTTAATAATGAGCACCTCAGATTTGTTTTTCAAAACACTCTCATTCATTTGTTTCTCAAAGAATATGTAATGCTTTTATTTGTTTAATTATTTATTTTGGGGATGCTGGTGAAATATTGCTTAATTTTTAGAGTGAACTCAGAAATTGAAATACATAGTTACATTCAGGGAAGAAAAAAAAAAGTAAAAGAAAAATCATGATCATAGGATAATCTTCGCCGCGGCCATGCCGTTTGAATTTATTGTGCATCTGTTATTGATATCGGGTTTAAAGTTAGTTGATGTGATTGTTGAATGAATTTATTGTGCATCTGTTATTGATATCGGACTTTTGGAAAAATTGAATTGAAGGTTTAAAGTTAGTTGATGTGATTGTTGAATGAATTTATTGTGCATTTGTTATTGATATCAGGTTTGATTTCGGTTTTGGGGCACAACGAATGAGGGGGCAGCCTCACTTTTTGTATGGATTGATTTCTATATTTGAATTGCATGCTTAATTTCGTTTCTCCTTAGTTGGTAGATGCAAATGAATAAAGAGAACCGCTAACTTTTGGATCCTATTGACAGCTGGTGGTTGGTTCTTTGGGCCTTGATAGGTATCTCACTTTGGGACAAATTTCAATTAATTTGAACTCCTCTTTCGGAATGTAAAGCATTGAGTTGATTGTCTTCTACTGTGCAAAATTTTTCTTTGTTTCTTGTACGTTTGTACTTGTAATGTTACCTCCAAAGACAAGACCATGTTGCTGAATTTGATTTTGACGAGTTAATTGTAAAGTTTTGCACTAACTCTTGAGCAATATGCACATGTTTCTAGTGATGAAAAACCCTGCCAATTTTTTTCCCCAAATTTTGTTAGCATACACCTACTTAGTTTATTGAGGTCGTTTTAGAAGATGAAAAGTTTACTTTGATAAAAAGTTCAGTGGGTTTATGCTGATATGCAGCTATGTTAAGTTTTCATTATTTATTATGCTATTTATTTGAAGGAGGAAGAGAATATATGGAATTCTAAAAGAATACCATGTCTACATGATTTGTAAAGTTTTGAATTTGATTTATATGTGTAAAAATCAATAGCTCTTCTCTTTAGCCTGTAGGATGATCCGGTTATTCAGATTTTGTGGCAATTATGGTTCACCGTTCGTAGGTTTCTCTGTTTCTTCATGTTTGGAATTTGAGGTCTTCTTATGGATTTCACTGTTCTGCTACTGATACATTAGATTCACAACAAGGTAAACATAAGTTTGTATTGGTTGAAGTAATAGACAAACTCCAGGATAAAAGAAACTGAACTTTTCTATTGGATATCTATCATTTTGTTTATATCGCCGTCGCTTAGCATAGGATTATCATAGTTGAAGATGATGATATTATAATATTAGAGAGGATATGCAGAAATTACAACTGTACCATGTACTCCGTAGTTTTGGAAAAGCCAAAGGGAGCAGCAATTTTCCTTATGAAATTTATGGTGAAAAGTTAGACTTTCCATATTCTTCATTCTGAAATTGTCTTTAATATTTTTGCGTAATCTAGAACCCAAAGAAGAGTATTAGCATTTGATTTTGAAGTGTGATTTGATAGTTTTCTTCCCTGAATGAAAATGTTTGTATTTTCTGCTTCTAATTCTTTTCTAAGATATTGTTATGTATAACCTGTGCATTTTTTTTACCTTCAATTTTTTTTTTCTGTAAGATGGTAACATGGCATGATCCTCTAAAAAAAATTCAGTTTGAATGTCTGATTTGCAGCAAGTTTTTGCAAAATATTTCGTTGCAAGTTGAAGCCTGGAAACACTAAATTTAGAAAAACTATGTAATTTTAATAGCAATGTTGCATTTTCAGAGATTGTCCAACTCATGTCTCATTTGAAGCATATTAGTATTTGTGACCAGTACCTGATAGTTTTCAAAGTTTTTAAACTAAATGTAGATCCACCTTCTAGGCCACACTTTACATCATGGACTCTTTGAGCTGTTTAAAAAACTATGTGCAAACTTATTAATGAATTTGACATTTTCTTCTTCTCTTTACGTCTAATTTATGAAACTTTTTGGTCAATGGAGTCAAAGTTTGGCCTAGGGGTTAGTCTCCCTTGTACGTGCCTGATCTGTTATACCTAGGCTGCTATTTGAAATACTATATTTTGTTATGTTGGTCATGTTAATCTACCTTAAGTAGGCTACAGTTAGTTTTTGTGCAAATTATTGCTGTTTGGTAATTGAAGTTGGTTTGGAGGAAATGGAAGGAAGCACTATTCATATATTATTTAATAGGCCAGAGTAAAAGTTATTGAATGTTTTCTATATTGAAGGCGTTATTTTATGTCGGGTTTCATAAACATCAATGATATTTTGGAACAAGTGCACCCATCCAGTGTACCAGGGATTCAGCCAAGTGCAGGGCAACGCATTTTATCATGTGGCAGATTCAAGCTCCTGCCGAAAAAGTCTTAATCCCTCCTGCTGAAAAGGTCTTACTCTCTCCGCCTCCTGCTTGGGTGGTCTGGCCGAATGTGGGGATGCCGTGGTTGAAACGGCGACTGTGGTGGGGTTTTGCGAGAGCATTAGTGAAATTGTTTGTCATTAATATTTAGTTTTGCCCCTTCCCCCAAAAGCCAAAGAAACTTATTATACTGTATTCTAAGACTAGAGTTTTCTTTACTTTTACTGAAACTAATAAATGCAACAAATAAATGACCAAATCAGTTCCTTACAATTCTGCATACTAGCTTACACCCTAAATTCAAAAAATATGGACAACTTGATTAAATACAAACTTGTTAATTTAGATATCAAAAAAGGGGGACCTTATGTCCCGGCTCCGCTCGCGCCACAGCCGCGCCTCGTGCGGCTCCCCTCGGCTAGTTTATTGTATAAAGGGGGATTCCACTAGTAACGATTGGGGACTTTTGGGGATTGGGCTTTCACGTACCCAAGTCAGTTTTTTTTGGAGGGGAAATACGTGGGAAATTCGAATTAAATTTCAACAATTTTTTTTTTTACCATTAAAATGGAACGGGACTAACAATGTAGTGTTAATATAAGTCTGACAAACAAAAATCTTAAATATATATATATATATATATATATATATTCTTATATATTTGCAGGGTGTCCACCGTCGGCAACAGTGACTAATCCCCCTCGCTGAATTGTAGGCACCTCGATGGGTAGGACAACTGAACAAAGTATTTAAGATTGCTTCATACCCATGGTGACGTTCGAACCCTCGACCTATGGTTAAGGGTGGGAAAAAATATATTCTTTTTTGGTACAATGAAGGAGGCCAACTGCCAATGGCCTAAATACCAAGCGATCACATCACATAAAGGAAGGAAGCTCACGGCCAAATACTATTCTAACTACGTGAGTGAGATACAAAAAATCTAACAAGAAAAACACCACATTTCTCTACCTAAAAAATATATTCTAACAATCAAGAGAACACAATAAATGTGAAAATATTTTTTTTTATAGAAAAAATTCAATTAAAAATATATGTTAAGTGAAATCAAAATGTCTTATATTACAAATGGGAGAGAATAGATAATACTCCATTCGGTCCTTAATATAAGTCATTTTGATTTTGTCTTAGGTTTCACTTAGTACGCATTTTTTAATTGATAAAAAAATCTTAAAAATATATTTTCACATTCTTTGTATTCTCTTATTGTTATGAAATATTTTTAAGGCTTTTTTTGTCAATTAAAAATATGTACTAGATTAAATCTAAGATCAATTAAAATGCCTTATATTAAGGACCAGAGGGAGTAATTATTGTAAAAGATACAAAGGGGGAAGAAGGCCAAGCTCCCGAGAGTGTGAGTGGATGGTCACATCAACCCACCATTGTCGCTGCTCCAAAAATACAAGACTAAAATCATCATCAGCGCCATAATGTATTCTTTCCAGCTACTGGCTATCCATGTGATAGATAAAAAATTTCTCCTCCCATTTTAGAAAAATGGAGTCTGATTTTCCGGGAACAAAAGCGACAAACAAAAACTTGGAGCTCCCCGGGATGATTTCAATATGAGATGCCAATAATTCTGCAGAATTTCTCGTGGTAATAGATTTAGTATTTATCTGGTAGCAAACTGTCCACGGAAGATCAAATTGGGTGGAGTAGGGGAGGAACTGGGGTCTGAATATCTCCAAAATGATCATCACCGGTAAGAAGTTAAATGCAAAAGATTGCCACTACCGGGCATTGCAGCATACTGGAGCAAGCCTTCCGAAGTTACACCAACATAAGTAGGAAGTTATTTGATTCTCTTGATAAATCTATCCATAATACAATACGGTTTCTTAATCAGAGTCACATGCCCCGTATCATTATCATGATCATTGGTGTTATTGTTATTATTAGTATCATATGGTGCGAAACAAAAAAACACCTCTTACCCTGGCCTTCCAATACACAATCCCCTTCCTAGCCAACGTGCCAGGTCCTCGGCACAGGGCGAAATCGGTGGCGTGTTCGTGGTTACCAAAACCGGATTTGGCATGTATAACCTCTGAAATTTTTCATTCTCTCACCACCACCGGAATGATTAAAAATGTGCTCTGACAATATCGCTATCGCGACATCCTTGTAAAGCACAGGGGGTGGAGGCAATTGGACGCTTTGTTTGGAGATGGGATCGGATACGTACCCGTTAGTATGAGGACGTCGGGCGTGGCGAGCATGAAATTATAATAACCAGCATTATTAGTATGCCGTATGAAATTGGTCCTTCGGTCGGTTGTAGGCAGAAACAACGGAACAGGCGGCGGTGGTGGGTGTACATTATTATGTTGAATATGGTACACCAAAAAAAACCCACAAATCTGCTACTATTGGTGATGAAGCCCCATAATAGTTTCTGAAAATATGGCTGAAACCAGGATGTAACTGAAAATACACTCGGGCTCTACCCTGACCAGAATCTCCCACAGAATATCATTGTTGTTCTCTAACATCGTCGGATTACACAACGTAACGTCACTGCCTACGCTCATCATCGGAGAACCAAATTAAGAGGAGAAAAGATCACAGATTTGGGCTAGACAATTATATATTAGATAACAAAACCAACTTATATAATCTGCCAAAATAAGTGGCGTTATTTTATAGAAGAGGAGATATTTTACAAGTCCTAAAACTAATTGGATTAGAATTTAAAATATACTGGATACTGGATTTACTCTGCTTTTTTTTGCTTGTATTCTGTTTTTTGCTTGCTTGCTTGTTGAATTAGTTTCTTCTTGATTATATATATGATTGATTTTTAGATTTGTTAACACTACTAAGCCATGCCTCTTCCAACCAGTGAATCAATGATGAATGCAAAATGACACTGGCTCCCATGTCAGGACCATGGAGCTTGCCTGTCAACAGCAGCCTGAGGCATGAAGACCGCTTTCCCCTTGCGATTCAGTGTTTCTCCGAAGCTCTTTACCCACTTCTGCCAGCCGGTTTGGCCTTCTTCCAATGCAGCAAAAAGTTCTCCATTATCATAGGCTGCCAAGAATGTTGCAGCAACTTCTGAAAGGCTATCATCCTCTATAACAGGTTTGCACTCAGGAGTGGCTAGAGTAACATGTAAAGGATAGGAAATCAAGTCTAACAGAGCCTTGTCTCCATCTTCCAACAAATCGATTCCATCTTTTTGGAGCTGCAAAATCCCTTCCACCATGAATGATCCCGTCGGTCCTGTCACAAAACCTCTGCTCTTCCAGTGATCACCAATAAGTTGAACCATCTCAGCAGGTGGAAGCAATCTCAAATAACGGCCGTTCATCCAACTGAGCTTACTGTAATCAAATACAGCTCCACTCTTGTTCACGCGATCGATTCTGAACTTTTCGACAAGTTCCTCAAGAGTGAAAAACTCATTTGTAGTGCAATCTCCCCAACCTAATAATGCAAGATAATTCACCATTGCCCGAGGCAAAAATCCCATCTCCCTGAACTGCCCCACTGAAGTCGCACCGTGGCGCTTTGACAGCTTGCTTTTATCAGGAGCAAGGATCAAAGAAACATGTGCAAACTTAGGCATTGGGAAACCCAGAGCCTTATAAATCAGAGCTTGCCTGAGAGTATTGCGGAATGCTCTTCAGCTCTAATCACATGAGAGACAGCCATGGTAGCATCATCAACGGTGACACAGAATTGTAAACTGGTTGTCCATTACTCCTCATTATCACAAAATCTCCCAATGTATCAAATTTCCACTCAACTTGACCCCTGATAAGATCATTGATCTGCAAAGATCCTTCTTTGGGTACCCTGAACCTATACGTGTAGGGAGTCCCCTTGGACAACTCTTTTTCCACTTTTTGATCCGTGGCATTAGCCCACTTCCCTGTGTACACCGGAGGCAAATGATGAACCTTGGCAAACTCCTTCATCTTATCAATTTCATCACTAGAACAAAAGCAACGATAAACTTGGCCGGATTGTAAAAGCTTATCTGCATATTCCATGTACAGAGCATTTCTTTCTGATTGACGGTACGGACCAAAGCTCCCCTCAATTTCAGGGCCTTCGTCCCAAGTTAGACCAAGCCAGGAAAGATCACGGAGAACAGCTTCCTCAGATGCCTTAGTGGACCGCTCCAAATTTCAATCCGAATGATGAATTTTCCCCCATCGGACTTGGCAAACAAGTAGTTGAACATCGCGGTTCCGGCTCCTCCCACGTGGAGATTACCTGTTGGCGACGGGGCAAAACGCACTCTGACTTCTGAATCCTTTTAGCCGCCGATTGGCGAAGATTATTCCGGTGGGCGGCGTAGCAAGGTAATCAACGGCCGCGGAAATCGAGTTCCGGTAGGATGTTGACCAGCGTCGGAATCAGCGGCGCTATTGGGCGGCGGAGAACGGCGGTGAGATTATTGACTCCGGGGAGAAATACTCTGACTTCTATGTTCATTTATATAGCTTTCCATCTCTTTATAATTAAATTCAAAATTAGGAAAGGAACACGAAAACTAATCACGACGAGAAAAGGTTCGTGGGTCACGAACGAAAAAGAGGCGAGTCCAAAGTGTAAATATATGAAAATATCGGGGTTGATACGAAATAAAAAAAATTCTAAGCAAAGAACACATTTTTCTTTCTTCAGAGACTTCTTGTTTGTTTTTGTTTAATTTGCAATTATACTATATTCATCCTTTGATTCTTTATTATATCCATTCCCACAATTTTGGGCGTCTACGGAAAGGAACATCCAGAATTGTTTTGCCGTTTAAAATCAATTTATTTTGCCCGTCCTGATTATTTTCGGTGAATTTGAAAAAAATATGGGTTCGCAGGAGGAAGAACAGTTACGGCGGGTTTCGCCATTATCATCTGATCAGTCATCAATCGTGGGTTAGTCATATGCTTTGAGGGATGTGAAAAAAGAACCCGATTTGATCTTTTATTTTTCTTTTTATTGTATTGCTGCATATGGGTTGTTTGTGGAATTTATGTCGGAGGTGTTTAATTTGCAGCATTTTGTTCTACCATCTTTGTTCTAATGCGTAGTTTTCTTATTTGTTGAGATTTTCTGGTTCTTTTCGATAGGCACTGTCATATACTTGTAAATGCATCTTTGGAACTTTGACTGAATTGATTGTTTGATGATTTCGAACCAGAAGTATTGATTTGCCAGGATATGGAATGCAGAAAATGAGATAGCCAGTAATTCTCATACTTCTGTTTACGATTATGAATTTATTTAATTGTAATTGGGCAAATATTATAATTGATAAAGTATTGAGCGGATAGTGATGTAGGATTAAACATACTTTAAGGGCAATTTGTACTTCAGTTAGTGCTTAGAAGCTATTGGATTCTTTTTAAGGAAACAGAGTCATTTTGTCTCCAAATGATGATGCCCTTTTTGAAAGCTTGAACTGGATGAATTGGATAACTTATTGCCCCGTATCAGATGTTAGAATTGGATGAATTACGTCCCCTTTCTGGTAAAGGAGAGAGCCCTGAAGTCCTGAGTACAATCCTCCTTCATCAATGATCTTGTGCCAGAATATGCTTTCTGCTTCACCTTTGAGTTACATCTACATGCTTTGGGGAAAGATTGCATTTCTAGAACAAATAAAATTCCTGAGAGCAGTTTGAGCAATATATATTATATGTTAGGATTTTGCCCGTGCATATGTTCTATCATTAACTTAAAAGTTCCGTGCTTAAATATTATGAGCTTGACAAATTACATGGACATGTAAAACATACCCAATTTGTTTTTGAACTGTTGACTAGGATGGTTAAGGTTATAGACAACTACGCTTTTGATTCTCCTGGAATTTATTCCTTAATGTAACATTACATGTAGTCATCTTGCTGAAAAAGATTGCCATCATGCCTAAATTGTGAGATTTTCTGTTAAGTTTCTGTTTTGTTACATACATTGTTCTTGTTGAATGTTGATTCAGTTTATTTCTGAACCAAAGGATGCTTGAAAGTTTTTCCTATCCACGCCCTCTTTTAATCGATTCTTTGATTTTCGGGAAGATGTTCAATGAACTTTTGCATTTTAGTATCTAGCCCTTCTTTGTTATCGTCATTACCAAGAACAGAAGTGTCACGAGTCCAGATGTCAATATCTAATCAAAATGCTTTATGATCTCTTTAGAACTTCGTGAAAAGTACCACAAGGAGCTAGAAAACCTGACGTTGACGATGCAGCCCCGGAAGACAATAAAGTTTTTTATCCTAGCTGTTCTTCAAAGCATTCAGCAACCGCTTGTTTACATCGTGGCAAACCGAATTTGGTTTGCACTCACAGTCTTTCTTGCTCTGGGCATTGGGGTATACATCAGAAGAGTTTTCCAGCCAGATGAAAAGGTATTAAATTTAGTATCACAATTTTTACTGATTTTTTTGTCAATTAACTGGGACTTGTGCGAAGTATGATCGATGTTTTTGTTTGAGTATGAGCGAAATTTCTTAAATTATTTAGAAATCGGTACCTCCTTCCCTTCTTTTGTTTGGAGCAAGGGGCTAAAACAGCTGTGGGCTGATACGGACCAAGTCCTCTTTTTGCAGTTGTAATTTTGTTACTTAGAGATGCCTTCTATTCTGTCTAGTTAGATATCCTGAATTCTAATTAATTTATCGCAAAATTTAATGGTCCACGGAGTTTTCTTTCAGAATTTGGTACGCTTACTATGGTTTCGGGTGAGTATATTGCTTCATATTGATACTGTTTTGATAAGGTTAGCGTGGTTGTTAATTGAGAGTTGATGGGATGACCTTTTACCTCTCAAATTTGGCAAGGAATTTTATGAAGAAACAAGTGAGGGGCTCATCTCATCTGTTAGATCTTTTTGTTATTGCTTTGAAGATGAATTTCTCTGTTCATTAGCTACCGTGTAACATGTGGTGTAGATGATTTTCCTTGTAACATTTACTCATTACTCTGCCAATTCTTAAGGTTATTTTAGGTTTACATTGTATCTTTTTACGCGCGTAAGTTTAAAAGATCTTATGCCATGTTTGAAGTTGATCATGTGTATGTATCAATTGGAGGTGATTAATGTTACACTTTAAAACATTCGAGGAAGTTTACTTGTGATTTCCCAGCCTCCAGTTTTATTCTCTATGTTTTTCTGTTGCCCGCTGGATGCAACAGATTGATGTTTTTTTGGTTGAGCATTGACGGATATAAGTTCTTCTGCTGAATGAAAATAAAAATATTCTTTTGCAAATTTTTTACTCATCTTGCTTTCGATTTCTTTGCTGAGGCACATTACAACTTGAGTCAAATGTGCTCTTATCTTTATGATGATCTGATTTTTGGTGATGATGCTTCAGCTTGTTTTGGAACTTTATAATTATCTTCAATTCGGAACCTGGTGGTTGGCTCTTGGTGTAGCATCGTCAATTGGTCTTGGTGAGTGTAAACAAAGCTGTTATCATAATGAGTGTTCAAAGTAGTAATTGAGTTTATTATCCGTACTGTCTGTGATCTTTTTTAATGCAACTTTGTTATATTACAAGGTCATCTGGGGCATTGCATGTCTTCTTATATCTGAAACAGATTTGTGGAACAGATACAGAACAAACCCCCTTCCCTTCTCCATAAGGGAAAAGTAAACAACAATTCCCTTTTCCAAAGTGACTTGATTGCTGATGAACTTTAAAATTTTTACTGTTGAAAGCTGCCAGATTCTGTAAACTCTTGTTTATTCTCAGTGTTGATATGCATTCTGTAAAGCTTATTCTGGCAATCACTATTTTCTAGTGTGGGGCTATACCGAGTTAAATATTATTTACAACCCTAATACAGTAATTGTATTTATTTCTATAGGTTCTGGTTTGCACACCTTTGTTTTATACTTGGGTCCTCATCTCGCCTTGTTTACAATGAAATCTGTACAATGTGGCCGAGTTGACATAAAACGCGCACTATACGATACTATTCAGTTCAGCAGGGGGCCTTCATGGCTAGATAGGGATTGTTCCACGTATGGACCACCAGTGTACTCTTCAGCTGGTTCCCGGGTTCCTTTAAGTAGCATTTTGCCTCAGGTTCAACTAGAAGCTATTTTGTGGGGAATTGGAACTGCACTAGGAGAGCTTCCTCCATATTTCATTTCTAGAGCAGGTAACAAGGAGACTATAGGATTATTATTCTGTCATTGTAAATTCCATCCATATGCGGGTTTGAAACATCATCATTATCTCCTTTTCTATTTCAATTTGTTTTTTTTCTTTTTCTGGTGACATTGAGTTGGTGATTTTCTATTTTGTGTTTAGTCACCTGAGATATCCAGAAGAAGGGTCAGTTTTGCTGTGTTGTTAATTTTGTGTATAAGCCTATCATTGTCATATTATTTCCTATCTGGAGCCAGTCAAAACCAGATCAACCAAATTTTTCTTTGTTCAAGACTAAGGATCGGAAATGAGGATGGAAAATTGAGGAACATATTTTTCTGTAGCTTCAAATGACAGCATTTTTTCCAGTTGATAAAGGAAAATGCATGTAATTAACTGGTTGTCCTCACCCCCATCTAGTTGAAATTTTGTTGGTTACTTTGGTGAGAACTGACATTTTCCACTCTAATAAACTTTAACTCACTATTGGTTGAAGCTTACATTTCTGGTAGAAAGCTTGAAGTCATGGAAGATGTGAGTATGTCTGCGGAAGAAGATAGTGGAATCATTGCCACTCATCTAAATCAGATGAAGAAATGGCTTATTTCGCACTCACAGCATCTGAACTTCCTTACGATTTTGGTTCTTGCTTCGGTAATGTTAATTTGGTTCCTCTTGAATATATGGAATGATTCAGATTTGTGCAAACTTTCTTTTCCTTCAAATCATAGTCTTAGGAAGGTTTTGCCATCTCTGTATTAAATACTCACCATATACATCTGCTACAAAAGGCAATCATTTGCGTGATTATTTCTTTATATCTTGATTTGATGGTTGCATATGAAATGGTTCTCTTCTAAGTTTACACACAGATGATCCTTATAGCAGCTGTCATAGATGATATCTTCATACTGTTCATTCTTTCAGCTGCCATTTGTCTATATACATTTTACGTAGTTGACATGAAATTGTCCCTTCCTGTTGGAGAAGTCATGGTTTATCTTCTTGTTTCCTGTTAGTCTATACAAACTGAAATTTCTTTTTAACAGTATTTCTGTTAGGGAGGGTTGTTAGATGTAAACACGAACTTTGTTAATTTTCTCTATTTGCTTCTATTGTTTGTTTTCAGGTTCCAAATCCTCTGTTTGACCTTGCTGGTATCATGTGTGGACAACTTGGCATCCCCTTCTGGAAGTTTTTCATTGCCACTGTTATTGGGAAGGCCATAATTAAGACACACATACAGGTCAGGAGATGTTGCTGGTTCCTGATCTTATTCAATAATTGTGGTATTCCACTGATATCTTCCTTTGACCAGTGCGTTGGTGATCATAGGACCTTTATGCACTTCAGACTATGAATTTTAATTCTTCATTAATGCTGGCTCAGTTTTTTGAAAAATGCATGAGACTTACTAAGTTCTTAATCTTTTGTCCTATTAAGACAGGCCTTATAGAGAACTGTACAAACTACATAGATGTTATCATTTTTGTGATCCATTGATACCCTTAATATGTGTCGAACCCTTTGTTTCAGTTAGACTTTGTTTATCTTTAATGTGAGTTTGAACCTACATGAGTCCTTTTCTTGTGATCTATCAATACCCTTAATATGCTGGTTTTTTTTTTTGTTTGGGTGGGTGGGGGGGGGGGGTGGGGTGTTAAAAGATATTTTGTAACTGGAGGCTAACCGCCTTGGGTCGAACCCCTTTTTCTAAATTAGACTATCATTAATGTGTCTTAGAGTCTGTTAACTGTAAGATAAGAACTTGTTTCTTTTTTGCCCAAAGAAACACGATGGAAATTCTTTTCTATGCATTGATTTTTTGTCTTGCTTTTTCCAGACATGTTTTATAATCTCAGTTTGTAACAATCAACTTCTGGATTTGATCGAGAATAAATTACTATGGGCCCTGAGTCTTGTCCCTGGAGTCTCGTCTATCCTGCCCGGCATCATCACCAAGATACATTTTGTCAGAGAGAATTATATGGCACCCTCTTCTCTATCGGCTTCGAATGTCAAGGTAATATACGCAATATTAATTGTAAAACTTGTTGCATGCATAATGACGACATGATGATTATCGATGTATGTAATAACAATGTTGCTAGGTAGTAAGCCTGATGACAGCGTACTGCATAATGTTATCAGAATTGCCTTTCTCTGCTGCTCCAATGTTCCAGATTAACTGAATCTTCCTACATCCCAATCAGAGATCCCCTTTATTTTAACCCACTTCGCCCATCCTTGCCTCATGCTCCGGATAATGCTAATGGCCTCCTCAGGGAAGCCCGGCATGTAAAACCTATTCCTTGTTAGTTCTCCACTCTTCTAATGCAAGCCTTTTTCTCTGATTCCTGTTTCCATCCGCAGGATCAATTTAGTTAAAGTTTGTCTAAGATTCATTTTCTTGTGCCTGTATCAACAAAAATACTCTTCCTGCAAATATCTTAGTGGCTATCTTAAATTTTGTTTCTGGATTCATTTTCTTGTATCCATCAACAGGGGAGGAAGTGGAATATTTCCCTAGCGTCATTCTGGAACACAGTTGTTCTCCTCATTCTTTTGAATTTCTTGGTCAAGATCATAAATGGAACTGCCCAGGGTCATTTGAAGCAACAGCATGACAAAGAATTGGCTCAGTTAGAAAGCACCTCAGAATCAGATAGTTGAAAATCCTGAGGCAGAGCATGGATTCACATTTTGCTGTAGTAATCTCTTGCAGCATTGTGATTAAGCTCAATATTGAACTTGAATATCATTCAAATTCGTCAATGCACAGAATAGCTGCATACCGTGCATCATTGATTTGAGGCTCAAAATTTGTTATCATCTGCCTCTTCCTTGTATATTGAAAACAATGATGTTTATGATTGATTCTAAATGTATATATATCATTCTATACTCACAATACGTTTGCCGTATCCTTTGTCCATTTCTCTATATTTCATTCTCATATCATAATCAATACCACTGACAAAATTATGTTTACCGTGTTACACAATATAAGGATTTGAGCTCGACAGACTATCTTTTTATTCATTTGGACTTAGGCTTTGTTATTTAATAAGTTAACTAAATCTCGACTCATATTTGATTAAGCTTTTTTTCAAAACTACATAATGTTTTGGCCAGCTTTTCAGTAGCATTATTGTGCCTATCTCGAAGTCCATACAAATGACAGATGTTGAAAGATACATAAGCAAATACAATGTAAAATCCTTGAAGACAAAAGACTACACACGTTATACGGGTTTAATGCAAGGTACAATGTGTATGAATTATGAAATATAACAATGCAATAATGCTGGATGGACGACCTCGCTAGCTTGTGGCTGGATGAGAGGTAGTTTATTCATAACACTTGGTCTATCTATATATTACAAGATTTTACATAATCATTCAGTAATCATTTGGGAGGCATGGTTAGCTTCCTTCCCACCAATGCTCATAACATCAAGTAAACCCAACTTGCCGCTCCCATCTGAGATCCTCTGAGAATTGTGTCAACGCTGCTCGAGGGTCTCCATCAGAAATAGATAAGTAGTATTGAGCAGTTCCATCATCAACTTGCATGCTCCTTCTCAAAGATTCGAGCACCTTTTTCTTAGCCTGTTCAGAGACCCAACGGTTTGACACATTCAAAAGCTTTTTATCAGGGCGCCCCTCAAGATAAAGCACAGCTACTTCCCTTTTTGCATAAGGGTCTAACTCAATGTAGCATGTCCCATTCTTGAGAATCTCTGGCTTGCTTATAGGAATCAACAACCTCTCCCTTGAGTATATCCCATGGTCACTCATCATGTTGTTTAAGCGTTTTATGTCCATTACCTAAGAAGGAACAGTATGTCAAGTAAGTAATTGCAGTTGCTTGAACCAAACTTTGAAGGTTCCATAACTAGACCACAAAAAGATTAGGGGAAAAGAATAAACCAGAGAATTAGATCACTCATGATTAGCATTGCGTGGCAAACTCAATCAGAAACATGGTTTCATGCAGATGCTCTTTGTTCTTGAATCAAAAGATTCCCAGTTTATAAGACAAGAACAGAACTTTACTTCTCAATAACGTTAGTAAAGCATAGATTATTGCACTTCCCAAGAACAGAACTTTATAAGACAAGATTCGCAACAAGTAGACGAACTTCTATTCAAAGTTACTCTAAAGCAAATTATTCCGGCACTTCTCAAAATGATGACTAATTATTGAAGCAACTGGCATTAGATAGAGCTTTATAAGATAGTCATAACTTGAAAACCTTCAAAGTAGAGCTAGAAGTTTCATAGATGTACGCACAACACACCCTCACAAACATTGGAACCAGGAGTGGTGTAAAAATTACTGATATAATTCTTTGTTGATAAACATCCTAGTTCAACCATTTCGAATGTAGGGGTTTTCTGAGTTTGATTGTCAACCCTATGCTTGTGGTTTTCTATGGTGGTGGTTTTATTAGGAGAAACCGACAGAGTTTTTCTGGGAGAGAGGTATAATATTCAAACCTGTTATCATACACAGCATTCATGTGCCCAACTACCGAAGAATCAATCGATTCCAAATCCATACTCTAATTGGACAACAAGAAACCACATATAACTGGAAACAACGAGGAATTCACTAAGGAGCGTCAGTGCCATTTATTTAATATGGTCAAGGCTTCAGCCATAAAAGTGATGAATGAAATGTGATACCAACTTCTCTGTAGAATCTATGAAAAGCCAAAGCATTTCAGTGAACACCTCTAAAGCTACATCTGGGAATGAACTTCGTTAGTTTTTCAAAACTTAAATAACCAGAAGTAACTGGCAATGTATCCTGAAGTTGTAAGATCAAAAAGTGAGATATATGGCTCACTTGACATTTATTTAGAAAAATGCTTAAAGGTCCTTTAATTATCTCCAACCTCAAATTTGGTGGCATGCTTTGCACAACAAGTATAAGGCAAATCAATTCTCCTGTCACAGACACAATCCAAGGGTAGATTCACAAAGGAAAAAAGCCAGTGAAGTTTGAGGACTATTTCATGAATATTATTAGCATTGTCTGTCTGTTTTATATTAAAGATTAGGCGCATGTATGATTTTATAAAACAATAGTAACCATTAGTTAGTAAAAGTAAGTTTCTTTTTTGATGGGTAGTAAAACTCACACACACCTTTCACCAAAACAAAAACAAGCAGCCAGGAAAGACGTGCAATTCAAGGTCTTGCAGGTTACATGTAGTATGTGGACTAAAATGAACCACCAGACCATTCAAAAGAAAGGAATTTATTTGACGTAATAAAGAACTAAAGCATTGCATTCTCTATTCTCATTGCAGGGTAGCATAAAGAATAAATTTGATTTCCACACTTATTTCTCTGCATTGATAAATACGGCCTAGCCATGTTTTAACACCATTTCACCATAAGCTGCAGCTAGATGTCTAACCCTATCTTATGAGCTGACATTTTTTCGTCAAATACCTTTCCCCATCAAAGCATTTCAATCTGTATAATTGTAAGAACAAGATTGTCTAGCTTACTGCACAGGGTTGTTTGCATAGACATTGATCTTATCAAACATCAAATCTTTCAATAACGGAAACATGCTGAGTAAACACAAACAAGTAGCTAATTTACAAAAAAAAGAACAGAATCTTTATACATAGATATGTACCTGAACAGAGTACTTAACAGCAAGGCCAACAACGGAATCCCCCCGGCAAATGCGATGAGAAATGGCGAACTTGGAGATACCATTGTCCCTCCAAAAGCTACCTGAGCTAGGATCACCAATCACGTCCTTGATTTTCCAGGGAGATTTAAAAGCCCTGGTCTGCATTTCACGGTCAGAGGCCACATAGCTCCATAGCCGGCAAACGCACGCCGACCGCGCCAAATCCGGCAAAGGGAGTTTCTCAAGGATGGCCCGGAGAGTGTCTTGACACAGCAGCGCGGAGAAATTGGAGTTCATCGGAGATATAGTTGACTCGAAATCGCTGCCGGAAGAGGCCGATGATGAGGTAGGAGAGGTTGCAGATGGCTGCTGGAATTGTTCTTTATCTGGGTTCATTAGGGGTTGGTGGAGGTCGGATCCTTCTTCTTCATTACAACAACATCCCATAATAATTTCAAACTGAATTCAGTAGGTGACTGTGTGAACCGACCTGCCGGCGAGAGGTTGGGGTTTTTTCTGTCGGCCGTCGGAAATGATAGAAAGTTGATGAAGGAAATGAAATGAATTATGTATGGTCCATTTAAAGGGAAAAAAATAAGTGGAGGATAAGAAGACAGTGGACCAAGGCACTTTTGCCTCCATATCTAATTTTGACTTCTATTATTAGTAAATGGAAATTATGAAATCAAAATTTTAACCGAACACATATCACACTGAGACTATTGAAAAATTATGATCGTGATGAAAGGGAATACAAGAGCATTACAATCTAGAGCAACTCAATGGAGGAAAGGGATTTTCATACATTCTCAAACTTACATCTTCGAAGTCGCAACCTTACAATATACATTGCCTTTCTGCTTTCATCTTTCAAGCAAGCCTCTAACTACATACTTTAATGGGAAAAAATCTGCGAAAATTTGTTGCTAAGAAAAAACAAAACTGTTTTACCACTCTTACAGAAGTTAGCTTAGCAAATCTAAAGTATTTAACACACATCACTTATCACTCAACTATAAGTAGGATTTTGGGAAATCTGGCATGGATCGTGTATAAGAAAAGTTCTCTAGTTCAGGAGACAAAACAGATTACATGGTCCATCCATCACCAAGCCCATATGCATCAGCATATCCAGCATGCGCATGGGTGTGAGCATGGCCATCGTGATGATTATGACTGCCATGGACGTGCTGATGATGATCACTGCTTTTCGATTCATCCTGCACCATCTTGATGTGCTCCGGGGTTGCCTCTTCTTCGGCTTGCCTAGTGGCCTTCGGCAATGAGGAAACAAACTCATAAATACTTTCTGCTATCTCCTCCGAAACAGAACCCTCCTATAATGTCAAAGCAAGTTTTTACTCAAGTTGATTAAAAAGTCAATACAAATAAAAGTTCAAAGCAAGTCTAGTCTACTACAAGTAGTAAGGCACCATCTAGAACTTACTCGGATACAATGAATCCCAACAAGACACAAGAAGCTGGAATGAAGAAGTGACAATTTTATTTGTTTTTATATATATATTTTTTTTTTGTGGAACATTTTCTGGAATATTAAGTGCATAGTGCATCTCATTCACTAGTAAAGAGAAACTTCAATGTCATCTGCATGGACCACAGTCACAAGTCAAATATTTCCAACGATACCAAGAATTAGACTGGTTCTAACCAACGAGAGATGGCTTCTGCTGCTGTTCTGTACTTAATACTCTGATAATAGAAGGGCCAGGATAAAGTATTCATACATCTAGACCACGAAGTAACAAGATACAAACATCTTCCCCTCAGAATATTAAGTCCTAACCATGGAGACACGGACAGAGAAGTGAGAATGTAGTTGGAAAAGATGGAAGGACTTGTTTCCCAACTTTATCCTTTTTTCAAACAGAATCACAGAGGAAAAAGAAATAAACAACTGGCTTAGTACCAAGTCAACTAATAGACATTTAAAATACATCGTAGAAGAAAAATGACAAGATATCTTCTTCTAGCAAAAATAGGAGCTGATTTCTAAAAATAAAAGATGAATGAAATTCACAAGACACGGTATTTTGTAGGAATATTCATATTTAACCTTGACTTTGGATCACTCTGAATCTGCATATTCTGTGTTTATTATTCGATAACAAATTTAACAACGAAAAAGCTTTTTAGAGTTCTTTTGTAAAGGTGATTATATAACAACAAGCCACAGGTGCATGTAAATGTAACACGTTATTGAAATTATGGGGTCCAAATCCAATCAGTGTACACTTTTGGAAAAGAATAACCAATATACATCAACATTTGATCGACGTCAAACTGAAAACATCACCAAATATTAACACACTTTAAAGCTAATGCATAATTTTGACTTTCCATATTATACAGCAGAATTTGCCAAAATCATTATTTTCCTGCTGCGACTCTGATTCTCCATTTTGAAGTTCTTATTCCTAGATATGTTCCATCAAACTGCCTATGAGCAAGCTTGAACATAAAGGTTACTCAGATTGCTACAAATAGCGTCCCATTAACAAAAACAGTGACTGAACCTCATATACAAACTGTTACAGATCATATTCCCAATCTATAAAGCCAAACTTTCTGATTGAACGAAACAATCAAAGCCACAGTTGACATACAAGATGGTAAAAATCATACTAGAACCCAATATTGCCCTAGAAAATTTATTCGAAACAGATGTAGTTACCATAGAATTACACATTTCCTAAAGAGATCATTCACAATCAAAAATGATGAATTTCACCACATTTTAATGCATGGCAAAAGCCTGAATGTTACATGCTTACCTGTACCCACGGCCCACCAGAATGGGAAACAAATGTAGCCTGACGAACTGCATTCCCAACCCAACTGCCCTCCTGACTCCATTCGAGGAAAGAACTAGACCAGATTACTCGCATTGGCAAGCCTTTCACCTCATCCAAACGAGCCCATTCGGATAAATCCAAACTGTAATTCACCCTCTTCCCCATCTCAACAGCCGACCTCCCACCATCCCTTCCTTTCAAAAGGACTCTATAAGCATCAGCCTCTGATTTAGTAACTGATTTTAAACAAAACTTTTCAAGAACCCTCTCAAATACAAATCCAAAACCCAAAATAACCTCCCTCAATACTGGCACTCCCACTGCCCAGAGAGGCAAAGCTGTCCTATATGGGAGACTATCTAGGAGAATAACACTCCTCACTAACTTTGAGTTCTCTGATATCCAATTGGCACTCAAGCCTAAAGCTGAATCATGCAAAACCAAATCCACAGGCGCCAATCCCATGTCGTTGATCACCTGGCTCAGCACTCTCCCCATTTCTTCAGTACCTAATTCAATAGACTTGACAACTTCTCTTTTCGAAACCCGAAGCTTTTTCTCTTCATGATCAATATACCCCTTTTCTATTAGCTGATCAAAACCCGAAAACAGACCTTTTTCCTTAATCTCATTATAAACCTCCCACAACTCGCTTAAACCCCCACCACCACCACCCACATTCTCTTCCATCACAGTCATGGACTTATCAGAAAACCCGGAACCCGGCAAATCAATAGCAATGGCATGAACCCCTTTAAGACCTAAAGCTTTAACAATCCCACGGAATGCATACGAGCTGCACCCAAACCCATGAACAATCAGAACTTTATGATCAGACTTAACTGGGCCATCTTGAATTGAAAATGCCTCAACTTGGGGAAGATTGGGAGTGATTTGTACCTTAAAAATCCGACCTTTGGAGTAGTGCTGTCGCAGATTAGGCGGCAGGGTCAGGAACCATTTCTTGGGGTCTTGTGTAGTGAAGGAAGGCAGAGAAACGAAGAAAAGGGTAATCAGAGATACCGAAAGGGTGAAATAAAACCAGAATTGAAATGGGTTTGCACCGGATGAGCTGGAAGAAGAGGGTGATGGAGAAGAGGTGGAGTGAGGCTTTGGAGGTGATATTTTGGTGGATGATTTTGGTGAATCAGGTTCTTCAGTAATGATGGCCATTATTATTGCTACTAGAAGAGTAGTTGAGCTTGAAGGAAGAATGGCATCCGATGGGGTTTTAGCCGGATTTGCAGATCGGAGGAGCAAAAAGCAGAGTGGAAATCGAGGAAGATGAACAGAAAAGAGTTAAAAGAGAGCACTTTAAGCAGTCATGCGGATTTTTCCTGTCTGGTTCTTTTCACTTTTCTTTCTTTCCCTCTTTCCCTAATCCGAAAGATTTTGGATTTATTTGCAAATAAACGCCCTAAAGTTTTATTATTTTGGGATAAGGTCTCCTAAATATCAACTATGGCACGTTAGAGATTCAGCATGATTCTATATTTGTCATCACTATTTTGCTGATTATCAAAGAAAAAAAAAAAGGTCACTATTTTGCTTTGTTTCTTGGAGAATGGAGATTGCATTTATGAAGTTACATATAAAGTTGATCTCTTCATTTGCATTTGATTTACCATTGATATTTTATTTAGTGATGATCAATATTGAGTCTTCTTCGAATTATGTCCAATCTTAAAATTATGCACTTATTTTGTTTTGTTCCGATGACATTTACTTTCGTAAGTTGACAAGATTGAATAATAATTTTTGTGCTTTTTGAATATGTGTGTTACTGTTGGCGTATTTATTTGCAAGTTTTTGTTATTTTTTTTAATTTCAATTCTTATAATCATTTTCGTTTTTCATCATTCTGCTCAAATTGCACTCTATATTATTTTACACAATTCAAAACGATTATTAAACATAATCCTTCTATAAGATCATTAGATGATCCTTGTGAAGATGAGTGTGATTCTTTTGTGTTCTTGTTCACAAGTTTTTTGTTTTGTTTCTTTTGTTATCTTGTAGGTTTTTTTTTTTTTAAAAAAAAAAGAAATTTTCTCCATATATATTTAAAAGGCTAAAAATTAGGAGTACAATAAAAGGATAAGGTTTTAAATAAGGGGTCAATTTCAAATGTAACAATATTTCAAAGGAGAAAATGTAAATAAAGCTCAAATATAGGAGTCACCAACAGTAATCCAATCTCCCTCCACAGAAACCTGAAAAGCCCAAATTATATCCGGTGTGATAATAATGGCGGGTTCACCATTTTCTCTCAGCTCCGCCACTTCCGCCATGAGAGCTCTTACTCCGACCTGCCGCCGGTTTCAGTTCTTCACATCCCCCATCCCTATTTTCCACAACTTCAATCATCACAGTTCCAAAAACTATCTTCCTCGGCGCTGCCAAAACTTCCCGGCCTTCACTGTCCGCTGCTCCGGCTCCATAACGGCCAAGCCCTCGTCGGAGCTCCGGAAGAAACGCAGTGATGATTCCGAACAAGACTACAAGCTCCGAGCCCTGCGCGAGCTTTTCTCCAAGCCCAATATCAACATCGATGCTTATATCATTCCTTCCCAAGACGCCCATCAAGTAAGTTGCCATTCTTCTTTGTATCATTCATTTGTTTGTCGAGTTAGGCCGTTTTGATTATTCATTTTTGCTACTAGGTTGTTTCATTTCTTATCGTAAGGAGTATGATTTCCTCATTGCTGAAGCCTGAATCCGAATTTTGTGGGTTGATGAAAATTTATAACTATATACTTTTTTGTGTTTTTGTCTGGGAGATTCGAATTAGTTCTTGAAATGGGATAATAAAATGGACTTTAGGAAAAAATGGTGGAGAATGATTTTGAGAAATTCCAAGTAATGTTGTTGAAACTACCCGTAATCCATCCCTTGAGCTGTAAGGCTCTGCTTTGCGGATTCTGTTGAAACTGCAGCTATGAAATTCCTCGTGTACGGACAAGATTAGTGTTTTTGTGAATTTTCTTGCGGATTTTGGTATTTACTTCAGCTAGATTATAGGCTTTCAATACATTTACCACATGGAATTTTGGGACTTGCTAAAGTGGTGTTTCTCTGTTCTATGTGGTACAGAATCTCCTTTGTATCGGATGAAGATTGCTTTCTTATCTAGATGTTGGGGTAATATTCAGTTAATGGGATCGGTCGTCTTTTTGCGCCCTTTTCATTTGTTCTTCTCTGGCAGTATGCATAAGGAATCTTGACAGTGCCATTTGTGGGTTTAAATTTGGAATTTAACAATTTTATGTAACTTTGGCTGTTTACCTTTTCTTCCCACAATGTCATTTCTAGTCTTTCTCTATTTGATTGCACCATGAACGCTTTTTCACCAGTTGCCGAGTAATGCATTTTGTAATTCATTAGTCTTCATTATGATTGTTTTGTTATATCTTTGTTATTATTTTTATTAATCTAGTTATGTAGAAGCAAAAGCTAAACGAAAAGAAATGCTATTCTGATTTCTCTATTTCGGATTTGATTCGGTTATTCTGGCATTGATTTCCAGAGTGAGTTCATTGCGGAATGTTATATGAGGAGAGCCTATATCTCTGGTTTTACGGGAAGTGCCGGCACGGCAGTTGTCACAAAGGACAAAGCAGCTCTTTGGACAGATGGACGATACTTTCTCCAGGTGAGAAATTTGTAGCAATGGGAATTTTCTTAGATTTTTTACTGCTCTTATTGGCTTGTTGTTGTTTGACGAGTAGGCTGAGCAGCAGTTGAACTCTAGCTGGATTCTTATGAAGGCTGGAAATTTGGGAGTGCCTACCACCACTGAGTGGCTTAATAGCGTGCTGGCTCCTGGTTGTAGAATTGGGATTGATCCTGTGAGTAAAACGCTGGTTCTTATACCATCCAGAAGTCATGCCTTTCTATTTTCTTAACGATCATATGCTGCCTAAGGAAACTGCACACTTAAAAAATACAGCTACTAGTATATTATGAGTTTAATTGATTCTGCTTTCTACAGTCTCGTACGTATTTCTCAAGTTACGGTTAAAAATTGTGTTCTTCCACTGGCCTGAGACTACATAGCTAGTTGAATAGCATGTGTTCTACTGTTACTCTTCTACCATCTAAAGGCCCTTAGTTTTTGGGTGTGAAGAAATTCTGTAGCCTTTGTAGGTTTGAAGAAACTATGTGCGTGTCATGTTGATTTATCCTTAAGATTGCACTTCATCTCTTTTATCATGCACAAATGATATGTCGAATCTGTTTTTATGCTTCAAATCAGTCTGGGGAAGATTTACGTCTGAATGCTTTATTTGAGAGTGTGTATGAAGTATTTCTGCACCTACAATTATGTAGCATATAAGATATCCAGCCTACCATGGGCTTTTACCCACACTTTGTCAAAGCTGAACACAGTTGGGCATTTATGGAAGGCCCAAACAAGCAGGGTGCTAATAGTATTACCCCGGGACCTTCTCTCCAGACTTAGAGTAGCTTGATTTATGAGTAAAGTTAGTCTGGGTTGCTTATCTACCGCATGCAATTTGTTTAGGGTTCATTTGCTTACTATTTCGCTTCATTTTGTAGCTTTTTCAGCCATCCACAACAAGCTACAATTTCTTTAAGTTTGCAACTCTGATGCAAGTTTTTTATTTATTGTTGCGAAGGGTTCAGTTCCTGTTTTCATCTGATGCTGCAGAAGAACTGAAAGAGGCCTTTTCTGAAAGAAAGCACGAGTTGGTCTACTTATATGACCTCAATCTTGTAGATGAAATATGGAAAGGATCGAGACCAAAACCTCCTATGAAACCAATTAGATTGCATGATCTTAAGTATGCTGGTATAGATGTGCTGTCAAAGCTATCTTCCCTGAGATCTGAACTGTCCGATGCTGGTTGCTCTGCAATTGTTATTTCTATGCTCGATGAGATTGCCTGGTTACTGAATCTGGTATTTTTTTTCTTCTTTTATCTGTTTGATTTTCTTTAATTTGTTCAACAAATATGTGTCGAATCTTGGTATGAGGGAATAAAAGCTTGTCAGTCTGAATGTAGGTTGGTTCTGCCTTTGGATTATTTTAATAAGCGTGTGCTAGTGTAACATATTTGTTATTTGTTAAGTATTTCTTTCTATCTTATCGTGTTGCAAGTATTTCTCTGTTGTCTTGTGTTACAGCTAAGGGTCAAATCATGCAAGTAAGGCGCTTAACCATCTCTCTCTATATATCTCTCTCTTTCTCTCTCCCTCTCTCTCTCTCTCACACACACACACACCACACAATAAATAAATGTACGTGGAATTATATCTTTTTCTAATCTTTTGGGTTTGTAATCAGTGAATGAAGAGGCTTATTTAACCCCTAGTTTTTCTTGTTATTTTGATTGAACTTCACAGTTAAAGAAAAATAACGTCCGAAGCTAGTCTTTGATGTCATTCATTGGTGAATTTGGTTGGAAGGAAGCTGGTCATATTCTATGAACTGTCCTGCTAACGTGCCCGAGTACTCTACCTAATTGTGCCATATTGGCGATACTCTAATCTTTTTCTTGTATAGATGAAATGAAAAGGATTAAGAGATGAGGGTAAATTAAGAAATTATTCTTCTTTACTAATATCCTTTAGCCAATCCGAACCTTCCCGATGATGTGATGAGTAAATGATTTTGCACAGGATTAAGAGAACAACTGCTAAATGGTTGGGTTTTTCCCTTTGTAGTTTTCTTTTGAGTGCCAGGAAGTTATTCCTTTTGGAGATTTTTTGTTATTTGACTTGTTTGGTTAAATTGAATAGTAATGTCAACTTTTCTGCTTTTGTTATGTTTATTTTCCTTTTTGCCTTTTTATTTTTGGAATTAAATTACAGGGTTCCCTTGTTATTATGTTTATTCACCTATGGACATTCTTCTAATGTATTATCTTACATTCCCAGAGAGGTAATGATATTCCACATTCGCCAGTCATGTATGCCTACTTAGTCGTGGAGATTGATGGAGCCAAGTTATTTGTTGACAAGTCTAAGATCAATTCGGAAGTGATGGATTACCTGAACCATGCCGGAATAGATTTGTGTCCTTATGAATCCATTCTCTCTGAAATAAAAAGGTAACCCAACTTTTCACTATATTTTTGGAAACAAAAACTTCCAGATGTTATGTTAGATTGATTATATAAAGAGATCACTCTTCTATTTAGCAGCATTACTTTTAGAGAGTCTGCTATCTTGATTGCTGCTATATTTAATGCTCTTCTTTTGAGTGGGCTACCCTAGCCTACTCAAAGGAATGACGTTTAGCCAGGCTTTGGATTTGCCGTTTGGAACATTTGTGATTGTCTTTGTTCTTGCTCAGGATTAGGAGTCTGAGGGAGTTGAATACTGTAATTATGGGCTTCATTGTACTTGATAGTGGTTCAGATTTCAGAGATGAATTTATCATTTGCAACTTAGCGGTTATTGTCATGTTTATAGGTTATGCGGCTTCAGGATTTGATCGCCCTTTGGTCTTGAGTTAATTCACTGCCTAATCAGTTTACTTCTTCCGCAGTTTGGCTGCCAAAGGTGCTCATCTTTGGTTTGATACATCATCCATCAATGCTGCTATTGTGAATACTTACAGATTAGCCTGTGAGAAACATTTTCATGAGGCTGGAAACCAAGCAGAAATCGAGATGATGTCATCCACTGATTCCAATGGCTATTTTAAGGGACCCACTGCATTGCGTAGGAGCTCCCCGATCTCTATGTTTAAGGCTGTGAAAAATGATGCTGAATTGGAAGGGATGCGTAATTCTCACCTAAGGTAATTTGAGATTGTACTTTCTTCTTCTGGACATGGTTCTTTCCACCTTTATTTGTTTCCCTGAGTGATATGCAGTTAGTTGAAGAAATGATCAAACAGTCAAAAAGATTTGAGTGCTCTGGTCCAATTAGCTATTAGAGAACAAAATGCAGAAGCAGTTGGTTAAAAAAGCATTTATATCTAGCTAATTTGATTGGCTGTTTGAGAAATCTTATGGCTAGTATTCTAGTATTCTTGTAAAGAATGCCGAGAAAGTCCTAGTTCTAGAGCAGGAGAAGTCTCCTTGCAAGTAATGTGACATGAAGTTTTTCGTTGCAAAAAGTGAAACATTATGGGTTGGAAGTTTCACCTTTTTACTTCTAGCATTGTTCCATTGCATCAGGGGATGTCTTCCCCTCCCAATTTCTTGAAAGTAAATCCTTTACTTCTAGGACAAAAGGTGGTTGAAGTCCTCCATTTCAGCCTGCCTAGTAGACTATTAAATCTTTTCCACCTTTGCAATATTCTCATTGGGAGTTTGACAATTGAAGGACGACTTTGATAGAGTAGGGCATCCCTTGTTATTGAATGTTGCTTGGCCTCCTTCCCCAGATTCCATTTTCATCCGGGGAAGGCTGTGGAATGATATGTACCCTGCACTCTGGCATTTATTTATTTAATTTCAGTTTAACAGCTAAGTCTGGAAGGCATTAATTCAGATATCTTGTAATTTAATTTATGGGTCAAAATAAAGTGGGAACATTCTTGTAAACTATTTAAGAAATTCAGTTCTAATGGCTTCTGCCAATAATTATATTTTCACAAAAGTAATTTCACAGCTTTGCTTTGCTGTATATACGTTGATGCATGTTCATTTACGGAGGAAATTCTAGATTATCTTGCAAGGTGGCATGCAGTTACTTCTTCCTGCGAACTATTGGAACAGTATATCTGTTATGAGAAGCTATTAACCATATACACCTTAATCTCAGAAATAATCACTGCTGAAATTTTTCTTATTGCAATTTTTTAATGTTCCTTTGCAGGGATGCTGCTGCATTAGCACAATTTTGGGCCTGGCTAGAGGAAGAGATCAACAAAGGTGTGACTTTGACTGAAGTAGATGTTGCAGACAAGCTTCTTCATTTTCGCTCAGTGCAAGATGGATTCATCGGCACAAGCTTTGATACTATAAGTGGTAAGTTAATTTTCTTATTTGGGAGGCACATTGGAAACAAATTTTCTTGTATCATATCCATATTACTAGGAATTGTGTTGCTCTCCACACTTCTTTCTTTCTGTAGAAGACAAGAAATAAATAAATTAATGAATAATAAAATTCAACACAAGTTTATGTTGGGAAAAACCTTGGAGTTAGCACTATTTTAAGACTGAATTCAGGTTGTGCTAAGTGGTTAGGCAAGGGCATCTTATTCAAAAGAACAGTGTCCTTTTTATCTCTTCATTGTCCCAACAGTCATCTAGATCTGATATGGACTATAGTATCATGCTCCATATGTCATGAAAGCATTTATGCAATATGGAGAGAACCTTATTGTGGCCCAGTAAATGTCTTTCTGCCTCAAAGTTTTCTTTCATACATGCAAAGTCCAGTTCGATGCGGTTGATATGTGGAAAGATTAGGGGCTTACAATTGGAAAATCCAGATTTTAACTCTTGCGCTTTCAGAGTTTTACCCAGTTTGAATGATTTTCAGTTTTACTTTACAAACACCCAGTTGTCATGAAATGAAAGTAGGCATATCTGTTTGTCGGTTTACTAATTTTATTATAAAGTTTTTGAGCCGCGGTACTGATTAGGCATTTAACAATATTGCAGCTTCAGGCGCGAATGGTGCCATTATACATTACAAACCCGAACCTGGTACTTGCAGTGCCGTGCATGCTGAAAAACTCTTCCTATTGGATAGTGGAGCTCAATATATTGATGGAACAACTGATGTCACACGGACGGTGCATTTTGGTGAACCTTCTTCCCGACAGAGAGAATGCTTTACTAGAGTTTTACAGGTTTTTGTTCATCTGCATGTCTTTCACACTACCATCATGTATGGGATAGTGTCTTTGAACATTTAATTGATGATAATATTTGTGATATCACAGGGCCATATAGCCCTTGATCAGGCAGTATTTCCGGAGAACACCCCTGGTTTTGTTTTGGATGCTTTTGCTCGATCTGCTTTGTGGAAGATTGGCCTCGATTACCGTCACGGTAGTAACCTTCTGGAGATAGTTTTCTTTTCAACTAATTACTTGCTGATCTATGTAACTGAGTTTAGCATCTGTTGGTTTGTTCCATTCATCTCTTAGGCACCGGCCATGGCGTAGGTGCTGCACTAAATGTTCATGAAGGGCCTCAAAGTATCAGCTTTCGATTTGGAAATACAACCCCTTTGATGAAAGGCATGGTTGTTAGTAATGAACCAGGATATTATGAAGATCATTCATTTGGCATACGTATTGAGGTACTCTATTCATTCAACCCTGAACTTTTGACAAGAATTGTTTGTGAAAGTGTTCCCTTCGCCCGCTCAGGATTAAAAGGAACTGTCCTTGTTGGTGTTGAGCCTGCATATGTTGACTAAATCATATTGATTTGGTCCATTAACTTAATTAATAATTTGTATTTAGAAACTGAATTGAAGAATTTCATAATTTGTTAGTTGTTTTAACTCTTTTGTCTTAAGTGAATGTTCTTGCATATTCTGAGAAGCTGATTGGCTGTTACTTTTTGTGGCATATTTTAGTGTTGTTTCCCTTACTATGTTAGAAATCCTTTTTTACAGAATCTCCTGTTTGTGAAAGAAGTTGAAACCCCGAATTGCTATGGCGGCATTGGATATTTGGGATTTGAAAAGCTTACTTTTGTTCCCATACAGGTATACTACAACGTAACTACAACACTTACTAGATATTTAGCTGCATTTTTGGAGACAAGGCGGTTGGCATTATCTTGATAAGTTCTTTATCAATTGTTATTGTTTTCTTGTGAACTTTATCATGTTAGATTAAGAATATGTATGGACCATGTTTTGGTTTTGGTTTCCTTTTTCTTGATAACATAGAGAGTTGCTATGGAGATGTAAAAGGTACCTTGGACGTTGGGCTGAAACACAAAATAAGTTGAGCATATAAGATTAGATGTGCTTCGTGTGATACAAGAAGGAAGAACGTGGGTCAACAAATACTGATCTGGATTTCACCTCAATTGACATTAATGTTAGTGTTTGTACAAATAGTTTTAGGGCTGGTATATTGAATGGGAATGTGCGGAAATGTGGTATACAGACCTAGATGCGAACAACTGAACCACGTCTGTTTATGCGGTTAATCGCCAATGTTAAGCCACTCCCCATGGATGCCTTTTCTAAGTTATGATTGGTTAAGATTCTCTTGACTAGAGGTGAAAAGCATGCTTGCTTGACCAGCCCCCAATCATACTCTTATATTGTGCTTCAGATAGGGAGGATGAGTTGCTTCCCATAGCAAAGGGCCCATGCAGAATGTAACATACTTTCCACTAGTGGAGAAAAGCACTTGAAGGATATCTAGTGAACTTTATAATGTAAAAAAGTTCAAACAAGCTATTAGGCTGAGAGTTATTCCAGGTTGGGCACAATGAGAAATCATTTTGGATAACTTACTGTTATTTTTTCATTAAAATCTTCTGCCTGGAGATAAATTATTTTTGCATGGGATAGTACTTGAAAGTAATTGATCATGCTTCACAGTTCTTTTACTGTGCTTTATTTTTGTATGTAGGGTTGCCATCAAGTCCCATTGCTTCTTTGATTAATGGTTCCCCTCTTATGCAGGCAAAATTGATTGACGTGACATTACTAAGTGTAGCAGAGATTGAATGGATAAATCATTACCATTCACAAGTTTGGGACAAGGTAAGATTGTACGTGTTTTGTTGTGTTCCCTGTACTGCTATGTTTGTAATGCTGGGGTTAAAATCCAAACCCGAATTATCACTGGAAGTTGACTGGGGGGGTTTTAAATTTCCTTTATTTTTTTCTTGCAGTCTTTCTTCCTTTCTACTTTTGTGATACTGTCATATTTTCTCACTCAGTTTTTCGCGCAGGTGTCAAAGCTACTGGAGGGTTCTGCCCGTCAGTGGCTACGGAACAACACACGGCCTCTCTCCAGGGCATAATCTTTCCTGTGTAAATATTGTACATTACTGGACGCTTTGCAGCCCTGGGCTGCAGCAGTCTCAAATGAATAGTTTCCTTGGAAAATTAAAAATACAAGAAAAACAATTGCAAGTTGCCAAGAGTTAGTACTCCAAACGTTTCATAAGATTTATGTGCCAATTATAACCGCAAATCTGGTGATTGGTCTTACTAGTACATTGTCGAACTTGCGGGCGTGTGCTGCTAAAATGATCTAATAGGCCAGTTTCTTCAATGTGAGGGATGCTGAGGATCACAAGTTGTTGCTAGTTTGTAAACAATCATGTTGCATCTTAAGGGAAGTGTTTCGATTTTTCTTCTCTTTCCCAAGCTGCATAGACCAACAAGTTCCTGGCGAGGGAGATTCATCATTTCTTTAAGTAGCTTTAGGGATGTGTTAACAGTTTTTTCTGTTTCCATTTTAAATTAATCACAAGTCTTTAGTGCGAGGGGAAAGAAAACACGATACAATCGACACCACACGACATAAATTTACACAATTTGCATTTCTATTATATTGTTAATTTTTTTTAAAAAAATCATATTAATCAGGTGGAATACATCAATTGACCCAAAATTCGAATAAAGACCCCTAATATTATTCCCATTTCCAATTTCTTAGCATGGAAAAATAAAAGGTTGTCAACAACTTCAAGCAATCAAGAGAAACCCCGAGACGAGTAATGAATTAAGACATCATCCCGTGGCAACTAATATTACATGAGCACGAATAAAATGCTCTACAAGCTTGAACCAAAGGGCAACAAGGATCTTTAGCTTATTTGCGTGGTGAAAGAGAAACAAAGGTATACACTCGACTGTCTATACGTCCTAAACATCTGTTCACAAAGCACTTTGTGGTCTTGGATCAGCCGTCGACAATGATGCATACATGTCTGATATTGCCTGTTGGAAGTAGGCCTTTGCTTGAGGTCTCTTGATCTGAAGAGATAGAAGAAACAACCATGAAAAAATAGCTCACCTGGTAAATTGTTGTCAGAAGTATAGCACACAAGATTCAAATACCATTTATTCCTGTAAAGTTTGTATGAAGCAATTTACCTTGAATGTTGGAGTGAGGAGGCCATTCTCCAAAGTAAAAGGCTCAGAAACTAAAGTGACTGCTTTTGCAAACTCGAAACCTCTCAACTGCCAAATTAACAAGATGAACCCATTTAAAATGACATCATTTGCAATACCCTTCTCAGGCTGAGAACTAGATAAAGAATTCATTATTCACCTGAGCTTCTCTTCCGACGGCATCCATATCAGCTAGAACAGCAGCCTTCGCTCTAGGATCACTACATAACTGTTCCAAATCTTGGAACTGATGACACGAATCAAAATGTCAGGGGCAAAGGGTGAAAGGTTGGTGACAGGTTTAAATGGCATTACACTACAAATGGCATTAACGTGGTAGTAATGCAGAATATTCAACACGGAAATTTTGTTTTTGTACATTGATAGTATTGCTTTCTCTAAGGAAGTGTGAGGTAAACATTAAAGCAAAAAAAGGAAGAAAAGGACAAATTGGATCCAAAAACTATAATCAAGGGCCACTCTTTGTCCAAATCGTTGCAGGTTGAGGACTACAAATTCCACTTGTTCCAGAAGATTCTATCTAATTTTTAAACAAACACAAATAACCCACAACCACAGTATTGTACATGCATTACCGCCTCCAATGCTCCACAAGCAAAAAGTGCAATGCAATGTTAGAAGGTGACACTTACCTTGATGCCTTCAGAAGTAGCCCATTCTCTCAAGACATCTGGGTCCACAGAAACTACAGCTACTAATGATGAATTGAAGCTATCACCTGAAGGCATTAGAGACTGCTTAGCAAAAGGAAACGGATAAAGGTGCAGGTTGAGATAGTGTGTCATCTCCTTACCATACACGAAACACTGGGCAACAAATTTGCATTTGGCATAGACATTCTCAATCTTCTCAGGAGCTATGTACTCCCCCTGGGCCAACTTAAATATGTTCTTTTTCCTGTTTGTAGCAGCAAAAGAACCAAATCAACAATCGGAAGTCCTGAAACCTAATTTTGAATTCCTTAAACATAAAAGGAAATAATCATTATCCCATTGACAATACGTAGCAATTAGACAAATTTTCCCTTTGATATCAAGAGCAACCATTAACAAGCATCCATGGCAGTATAATGTGGGAGACATAGCCCCAAACCACCTTGAACAAATAGAAAGAAACATCACCTATCAATTATCTTAAGTCGTCCTCCAGGTAACCATAATCCAATATCTCCAGTGTGCAGCCAACCATCTTCATCCATGACTTCCCTTCTGTTCAAGCAATCAGGTGGTCAGTAAACAGTGACTCTAATAATTCCAACGCAAAAGCATTAAGATAATGTATATACGTCTGCACTTCATCTTTGTAATAGCCTTGAAACACAATGGGACCCCTAACACAGATCTCCCCACGAGGATGAGGTTGATCATCAGAAGTGTAGTTCATTTCAGGAACATCCACGAGCTTGATTTCTGCATGGAATTAAATATAATATCATGTAAAGTAGAAATCATATTACCTCATTAAATATGCAGCAGATTAAAATAACGGATAGTGAAAATTTATGCGAAAGAAGCACAACAATTCACTTTGCTCCAGCCATTCGCTTAAAACGTACCACAAGCAGGATTTGGAGAACCAACATGCCCTGTAGAGATATCACCGTCATCCATTGAGCTAATCACACAGGAAGTCTCTGTCATTCCATATCCTTCCGTAACTCGACAGCCGAAACATCTGGAAAATAAATGTGCTAATTTTACTATTGGATAATTTATATAACAAAGTTAATGGTAACTGAGCTGATAACAGTATCTACGCTGAAGAAAAACGTGAACTTACACCCGTAGAAATTCCATGATATCAGGTGACAAAGGTGAAGCTCCCGAACCCATGAAGCGAACTCTACCTCCCAGTTTATCCTTAATTTTATTGAAAACCAACCTATCCCACATGGGCGATGGCCTTCTACCTGAAACAAGGAACCATATATACAAGTGAAAACCAACCTTTTTGAGATGATATTTTACCTGATCTTGTTAAATAATCTCACATAGCTCAAAATGAAAGATTGGTTAAACTAACTTCTGAGAAGCAAAAATTACACTTTTGACGTAGATATAGGTACACCAAAGACAGCAGTAAGAAAAGTATCCAATTACTTTTGCCATAAGTTTGAAATGTGTAAAGTGAAAACTAGTTGGGAAGTATTACAAGTCTCATCTATAGAAAATATAAAATACATCCGTTTGTTCTGATCAAGGAGCCAGAGGGCTCTGAAGTAACTTTTAATCTTGTTGAACTGGAACAACAAACCAGTCTCATCTATGCAAGAAAATCAGCTAGAAGAAATGACCGCCCAAGTTGATAAAAAGAACTTGAACCAACTCATAATTTCTCCATAAGGTCTACCGCAGAACATGAACAAGTCCTCATATGCAAACTATCTGAAGTTTCTAGGTGAGTGGTCATGCAAGGCCAGCCACTTTGAAAATGCTAAAGGATTTCTGTCAACTACTGCAGCAGTATAAAAAAGATGGTATCTTCAAGACCTACTTGCATGAAAAATAATCATATTCCAATATCTAACCCACACTTACAATATCATATCACCATAAAGGTCAAACGGAATTATATTATAATCATAAAAGCCTCCATCCAGACTTATTTACATTACGGTAACTGGTTCCGGTCATCTGTTTGAAGAGAAAGGCGAAGGACAGAGATAACAAAAATTTCACAAAGAAAAGAGTGAACACACCATTCATTATGGCCTGCTTCTTGGAATTGTAGGCAGCATTGAACAATCTCTCTTTTAGGGCCCCAGATGTTTTAACAGCATTTGTAATCCTATAACAGATCAAGCAAGTGGATAATCACAGATCCGAAGAAACTTATAGAGAATCTATTGATAGCAGTTTGCACCAGTAATACCCTGCATATATTCTGTTGTAAAGACGGGGGACACTGCAAAATATTGTTGGCCTTAGAGCTGCCAAATCGTCCATCAGTTTTAAATTGTCCTGTATATTGAAAAGATAACTGATAGCTCATTCAATGGAGGAAGAGGCAAGGCTAAAGGAATGAACTATTCCGTAGCTAAGAAGAGCGCATAAATATGTCAATCACTTAGCAAACACCAGGACACCAGGAGTGAAATAAAACAAAAGGGAAAAAGAAAAAGAAATCATCAACCAAACTGTCATGTTATAATCTTGGTTCCTTCTGACTCAATAAATGTTCAAAAAATAACTGTCCTTTTAATTAGAACTTAAAGAATAACCACGTAACTCAGCTTACTTTCTCTGTAGAGTACCATCAGAGAGGAAAGTTCAGAAGCCCTAACAACAGGTCTTACAAGACCTAACCAAATGAATCTTTGCATTATCAGGTTCAGAAAAGTGAGCTCTCTTCGCAACCAGTAATTTTTGTGTTTGTTTATTTTCCCGCGGTTAAGAGACATACAAATCTTTACTTTTAGCTAGAGGCTCTTGTACTCAAATGTCAGGAATCTTTGCTCGGACAAGAAAGTAAGAACCATTCACGATAGCGAAGTCCAATAGTGAAATAAAAAAGTGCAGTGTATGCATACCCCCTGGTAGAAGCCAATAGCAACTCCAAAATACACACTCATAATTTGGTTGGCCCGCTCGTAGATGTGTGCCAATGGAAGGTAAGATATATAACTGCAAAGTACAATAACAACTCACCATATCGGAAAGAAAAAATAGACAAAAGTAGCTACAAAAGTATCCAAGCAAAAACTCACATGTCTGAGGAATAAAACTTGACAGCATGACTCATACCCGCAACACTTGCAATCAGATTTGCATGAGATAAAACAACACCCTAACCAAAAATGACAGACAAAGGACAAATTAGAATTTTTGGTTTTCTCATAAGCGAGATATGCACGAACAGGAAAAGCCTAACCTTTGGTGTCCCAGTAGTACCACTGGTATAGCATATAGTTGCAATATCATTTGCCTTGGGAGGACAAAAAGGTTGAACATTTCTGCGGCCCTAAAGTAAATAGAAACTTGATTGCATCATCAATTAATATTTTAGATTAGAACATTTTATCTGCCATCTTTAGTTTTTCCATGAAAGGAAAAGAAAACAAAGATCCACTAATTCCCTAAATTATTTCAATTTTGGACGTAAATATCAAACAGTACAAGTCAAGACAAATTTGATAAACAAATGGAAAAACAAGAGAGAAAGCAAGGACCATGTAAATAAGCAAAAGCAACACGAGGCATAAATTTGCCTTAAAAGATCAATTGAGAACCTAAATTCATACTCCTGATGCAGTTAACTTCAAAGACATAGTATCTTGATATCGTTCCCTAAATATTTATATCTTACTTCGGAAACGAAGACATAACCGCAATCCAAGTATATATAAGAAAATGACGACCAAGCATAACTGCACCAAGCTAGCTCACAGCCTCACACATATAGGGAAAAAAAAACAAAAGGAAGAAAAGAAAGATCTAACACTGCCTAGAATGTGAATAGACAACATAACTGATATTCATTGTACCTGATCGAGTAACTTCGAATATGAGATAACCTTGACTCTGGCTGTTGCAGGAAGAGATGGGAGGTGCTCATCTACCCCTCCTACCACCTGTATCGTGCAATATAAGAATCAAACCTTCTAAGTTTATATGTTCCTTGAGAAAATGACATAGTAGGGTGCAATGTGCGAGACTTACAACTATAACCCGTACAGATGGAATCTCCGATAAAAAACTCAGCAACTGCCAATGTCGAACAGAACAATCAGGTTTTCTCTTTCCAATTTACAGTCTTAAAAGTAACAGAAGTAAAAGCAACAGCAACATAAACAAAAGGGAAACTAGCTTCAAAAAGGAAAAAGAATTTCAACAACAAAAAACCAGCTAGAGGCAACAGCAACGAAATAAAGGGAGAAGACCTAAAGGTAACAATTATAGATAAAGATTCAACATGAATGATCAGAGAGCAAACTTGTACTTCATTAATATGATCAGAAACAGATATCAGGTTCCAAACTCCCGGAACCAATAAAAACAATCAGCAACAAATTAACTCTGTTTCACGAAATTCATTCCTAGAGAATTCTCATAAACATTAAGACCTGAATGGTTCTTCTAAATCAAGTAAACACACTATCCAGTTGCAAGGATTCAGAACATCAGTAAACTGTCAGTAAATTAATAAGTGGTGCAAAACCATTGCAAAGTATGCCTTGGTCAAGTCAGCTTAAGAGCAGAGTAAACAAGGTATCATAAAAGCTACAGCACATCCAAATGATACGAAGATAAATAGTAGCAAACTCACTGTGTTCAGAGTGGTAGGAACACAGAAAATGGCCTGTACATCAGCATGACCCACAATGAACTTGACAGCATCAGGACCTGCAGATAAGAAAAAGATATTTGCGAGTTTAACAGACCTCACCAAACCTATGAAATATAAATGGATGGATAACTACACACCAAGAGTGTCATATAAAGGGACTGAGATATACGAATATGCTGAGCAGGCATGATCAACAATTAGCCATTCAGGTCTGTTGATGAAGTACAGTCCAACACATGATCCCTGCAATTATGAAAACCATAGACCACGGGAACCAGTTAATGAAAACATATCATTTCTACAAGTTCTTCACAATTATAAAATAACCAAGCTAACTAACAAATATGGTTAACGTATGCCAAGTCATCTAAGCAATGTCAACCAAGGAAAATTTGAGAAGTAAGCAATCAGAAAGACATTCTTATAAACCCTCGGAAAGGTCCGATGGAAAACATTAAAGTTAAAAACTTCTGAATGGTACCGGTTGGATTCCATGATTATATAGTCCAGAACCTATTGCCGTTCGAGCAGTAGAAACCTCACCATATGTCATCCATTTGTATCTTCACTTAGCATTAAACAAAAAAAAAAAACCAAAAAAAAAAATCAAATTACATTCTTGCCGTGCTCTAAATTGCATGTCAACATTATCAGAAAATATTATTACTTTGCTAACTTACTCTCCAATGCTCCCATCCACGCGAATGCGAGTACCCAAATACTTGTAATCCTGAAATGCTTCAACTGCATGTCTGAGTGCAAAAATGGCAAGAGCAAGTCAAAGCCGAATTCAACCAGCATTCAATTCCTTGAGAAATATATTCATGCAACAGATGAGAAAGTAAATAAAATTTAACCGTATTGGACAAATGGTTTAATGCAATATCATGAATGTACATCAGAGATGGAAATACAGAGTCAAGCTTACAAGATGAAAATAAAATTAGCGTCTTACATAAAGTTATCATGCAATGTAGCAATTTCGGGATGATCTGGAAACCTCTCAACAAGCTTCACAGGAGAGACTGCAGATCTGTAAAGATCAATGGTTTGGTTAACTCCCTAACAACAACCGCAACGGTGAGTAAACAGAATATGAAGAAAATATTACCTGTACACATTCCATTTCCCTGTCTGCAATTTTTCTGGAAGGACTACGCTGTATCGCTGACCTAATCAACGCATTAAACCATCATGTCATATTTCTATAAACTCACAAAGTGGAAGGGAGGAAAAAACAGCATCAAATATGACAATTGCTACAAAAGACTCAAGCTCGTTGTTTTCATTCACTGGAGATGTTATCGTCCTTCCGTCAAATGCAATACTTAGCTCCGAAACATCAAAACCCAATTCAGGCACCTTCTGTACGTAATAGAAAATTACTCATTTCGTGGCCATTCCACGACCCAAAAGAAAGGGCAGCTTCGAAATGCTAAATTATCATTGCATACAATCAGTAACCGCCAAATCCTCATCGTTCATCATTAGTAGACTAACACCAATAATTCATTTGCGTACAACCATTAGCCATTTATTCCTAGTTCGCTAACCCATCTAAAATCAACATCCATCTTGGCTATACAAAAAGCCCAAGACTGCAGTTTTCCCTTTCACATAAACACTATCTTCTCGCCCATACTTCCGTTTAAAACCACTGTTTCTGCTTGGCGTAACCCATGAGTAAAAGAACCCACCTCGAGAAACATCACGAAAAATGCTAGCAAAATATTTCTCATATGAATGAAACCAAAAAGAAAAAAACAGAGGACGAAAAACAACTACCTTGATAAAATTCACCGGCTGTTGGGTTTGGGTGGATCTCAACAGAAGAATTATGAGTAGTTGCAGGAATCAAATGAGATTGAATAGCTCTGAGTCGCCTCTCCGCCATTACCAATTCCGTAGCCATCATCAAACTTCTTTTTCTTTTTTTTTTTTTAATATTTCAATTATCCTTAATTCTTAGAATTGATTTTGTTCAATCTTCCTTGTTGTGTGAATTGAATTGTGTGTGTGTGTGTGTGTGTGTGTGTTGTTGTTGTTTTTTATTTTTTTATTTTGGTTCTTTTTTTCTTCTATTTGGTTGCAATTTGGAAAGAGAGCAAATGGCGTGTTGTTTTCAATTTCTGGAAGAAAAGTCGTTTTTAGATATGGGAGAAGGCGGGCACGCCCTTCGAAGCTGATGACGCATTAAATTATTGGTCTCTCAAAATTATTAGATACTGACAATTATCCAAAATCCAAAAATGGTCCTATTTATTAGAATTGACTCTTATTTTTTCCTCTATATATAATCCGATCAAAATAATAGAATTATTAAATGAAGCAGTATTGCACTATAATATGCATAATATTGTAGTGATAAGCATAGCAATCATGAAAAATGTTAGGTTGTATTATATTTTACTTATTTAATAAGTTATACTTCGTCAATTACGTATAAAAATCATTCTGAGACAGATAGTTTAAAAAGAAGATTAATAACTCTAGTGAGTCAAATATATTGTTGTAAGGAAGAAATCAACTATGATAAGTCAACTCCAATGATGAACTTTAAAATTTTCAAATAATAATTTAATTCCATACTTATGTTTGATACTTGATTCGTACGTAATTGAATTTTGTCAGAATAATTATATTAACGCAAGACTATTATGAGAAATTATTAACATTTTCATTTGATGTGTAGCAATGGGGGTGAGAAGATTTATTTGATACTATAAAAACACGAAAAGGATAAGAATTTGGTGATTTTTTACCACTAATTTTATTTTATTTTTTTAATGATATTGTAGATGGGACAGATGATACGTATCAAGTGGGGAGGGTTTTGGATAAGGGTTGTTGTCAATTGTTTTTTCTACGAATATGCAACGAACTTTTTTTTTTCTCACACATTTCGTCTTAAAATATGAGTACTATAAATGAAACTAATGTAGTACTACTTCCATTCCAAAATAAATGTCGTTTTAACAAAATGGAGAAATTCCAAAATAAGTATCGTTCTCAGATTTCAATGCAATTTTTGTCAATAAGTTTCCAAAATTACCCTCAAAAGAGTTGATGCTATTGGTGGACAATTTTATAATGGGGTTGGTTGAGGATATTCAAGTAATTTTATTACCTTATTTAAAAGTTTCTTAAACTATGTGTAAGTGTAGGACGACACTTATTGTAGAATGGAGGGAGTACTATTTTAATCCTCATTTAGAAACTAGATATCACTAAATGCGTCTGTTCGGTGAAGATAGCGATGAAATTATTAATAACACTAAAGATTAGTTTTACTTGTTTAGAAAATACTCGAATTTCTATTTCTAAATTGTAAATGACACTCCTATTAGTCTTTTGATTACTTGATTATTTGCCCCTTTTCATATAGGCTAATAATCATCCTTCTCTCCGTAGAGGGGGGCAAAAAAAAAAGTGTTCGGAATGACATTATTGAATGCAAGGAATGTATATATATGTGACAAAAGTATGTTCACCATGTCACCCTTTGATCTAATATTTTTTTCATGAGGCATAGTTTTCAAAAATAATAATAATAATAAAGCCTATTAATAAATTATTGTATTTATACCTTTGATGTATTCCCTCCGACCCTTAACATAAGGCATTTTGATTTGTATTAAGTTTACATGGTATCTATTTTTAATTGCCCAAAAAACCTTAAAAATATTTCATAGCAATCAAGAGAATACAAAGAATGTGAAAATATAATTTTAAGATTTTTTCGTCAATTAAAAACGCGTTCTAGGTGAAATTTCGAATAAAATCAAAATATCTTATATTGAGGACCGGAGGAGGAAGTATTTTGATATTTAATTATAGCTTTTATTTGAGTTCGTTGATTTTTCCCTTACAAAAAAAATAAAAGCTTAAAATTGGAATGTCAATAACCGTTTTAATTAAAAAAAAAATACTCGTGTATACAAATTTCCACAACAGAAAAATGCAGGACAAATGTGTCTACAAATATTCCCTTCTAAAAAGTAATGACGTGAAAAAGAATTAGTGATGGAAACTTGTTCAAAAGTTGGACCTAATCAGATTCAATGGATATATGTGCTTGATCCCCCAAACAATCAAAAGTAAAAAAAAAAAGTGCAAAAAGGCTCACAATATAATGCTATTTGATTAGCTTTTTCTTAAGGAATAATAGTATTTGATTAGTCAATCTCACGAGTCTTGTAAATGCTCTTTGTTAGGTGCGTTACTTTTTTGAGTTTTTTTTTTCTTTTTTTTTGCCCCTTTTCTTAGAACATGCATAGTCCGATCATAAAAATGCAAAATAAAATCTCTTCTTCCTTTGAATTTACGAGTACATAATTTATTAACTTTTAGATGATTATACAAATGGATTATAAAAAGTATTTTGAAAAATTCTTACACGCTCTGTAAATATCGGGGGAAAAAAAACACATGTGTTCAATGTTTATATTTGAATCTAAATAGTTTGAAAACTAATCTTTGAAAATCTAATTTGTTTAAGACCCTTGCAGCGAAATGTGTACTAAATTATATACACTTCTCAAAAGTTTTTGCATTCTTGTTTTCTGATACGTAAACTTGTATTCTATATGGAAAATAATGGCACTTACCAAAAAAAAAAATGTTTCTTATTCTTGGGATCACTTCTATTTGAATAAATGTCACATTTAGTCCGTTATAGTTTAAAATGGGTACTTATGGATTCGTATATTTGTCTATTATACGCACGAAAAAAAAATGATTTTTTTTTTTTTGTGGAATGGTTGTGTGGAGTAATTAGGGAATTAGGATGGGGAATGATTATTATTAGGGTTAAGGTTCAATTATGGCTGGGACATCCAATTTTTATTTTTATTTTTTAAATAAAAAAACTGGTATTTTAACAAGAGGGCAAAAAGTAACTTTTTCAAAATTTTGTTGACCTCTACTAGCTTAACAAATATATATATATACTAGTGATGTCTGGTCGCGCAATGCGCGACTCTGGCCCAGTCTATCTATAAATCTTAGAAATGTTTATATTTGGAAAAAAATAAAATTTTGTATTTGGGGCAATATATTTTAGAAATGTTTGAAGGATTTAGAAATGTTTTATAAGTGTGATCATAGAAATAATTGTATTTCACAAAAAAAAAAAGAAATTGTATTTCGTCATGTAAGTTATAGAAATATTTTATAAGTGTTACTTATTAAATATAAATAGCCTTAATCGAATATATGTATTGAAGTAAATGTTAGATAAAATATAAAAGCATCCTAATAAATTTAAATATTAGTAAGATGATTTATTGATGTTCGGTCGTGCCAAATCAATACTTAGTTTTGGAGATTTTTAATAGCTTTGTAATAAGTTTCATCCGCAGGGTATACGCTTAAAACAAAATTGACACTTTGTAACAAAAACCTAATTGATCAATTTAACTTAAAAAACCACTCTAAATGAATGAAACATAAAGAAAATTTTTTTTAAAAAAAAAACGTGTCACATAAAGTGCAAAGGGAGATTTAGTAATTTAGTTATGGTTTAGACAAAAGGGCAATTTAGTACTTTCTATATGTCACGTGGCAATCATATGAGGTGTTTGAAAGGGAGGTTTTTGTTTCTAATATAGTAGGATATATAGAAAGGAAAAGACAGGCCATTTTCATAAATAAAAATTCCTTAAAATTGTTATTCTTTGATATTAAAAAAAAAAAAGAAAAACTAAGATATTGTTCATTTCACAAAAGCTCAATTTAACAAGTTATACCTTTGAAGCACTAAATTTGCTACCGCACGCCTTCAAACAAGAATAGAAAAGAAGAAAAAACACCAGAAAAATTCAAGAAATTATCATACATGAACGTAATACAAACTAATTAAGTGGACTCACCTGTAGATGGCAATATGTTCCCTAGTCAATCCCGCAACATTCATATATTTGCATATCCTTTTTTGGCACAGTTTTTGAATCCACAAATGGAGAAGCAAAAATTAATAATCAAGCTAGTAAAAATAAAAGAGAGTGACAATTAAATTCTCCTGAATAGTTTAGAAAATATCTCAGTAATAAAAGTGAAATTTGTCTTACTAGATCTAGGAAATATGCTAGTCAAAACCGTCAAAAACTTCTCGTGCAGTTTTTAAGCCCAAATAACCCTAGGCTTCTTTTTTCATTATCGCAATTCTTTTTCTTAACCTTCTATTTCTTTCGATTTGTCACTGTCTTTGGTTGTCTTCCATTATTTGGAGTTACCTCGCGAGTGATAATCTAGTTTACCGGCACTGGAACGGTGATTCCCGTACTAGTGTTATTTAGTACAGTCAACTACGGCCAAAATAGTCCGTAGAGCAATATTTGTACCGCTCATAATTTAATTATCGCCATCTGATGGAGCGGTAATTCTCTCGCTAATGAAAATAAATTGTTGTGACCAAGAAGACAGTTGTGGAAAAGACACCTGATGACTTTCATGATCACTTCCTCTTCGTCCTTGAGTGAGGTTGCTCTCTCAAAAGGTCAGCAATGTCACCCTTTATGAATGACTTAAGAAGATACACCAAATGTGTATTCTTCCAACTCCACCTTGTTATCATCAGGTGACATAACTGCAAAATGAAATATGAAAACACGGTCAATCATCAAAACAAAAACAAAAAAAAAAAAAACCCTTGAAATTCTTTGTAAGATTTGATTTAAACTATTTCCATGTAACCTCTCTGTTCAAGGTTGCCTGTACGTACGAACTAGAAGGAATGCTATTAACCTTCACTCCCTTAACCCCCACCCCCCACAAAGAGAAATTAACAAACAGCAAATCAAATCCTTCTTAATTTATATATGCAAAATCATAATAAAATGTAATCATTAAATTAGTGTATAAGCTTGATACACGAGTCAACAATTTGCCAATCTATATCTCATTCACTACATCCAA